TAAAACTTATATTTACAATGGAGCCTGAAAATTCATCTAGATGTTTGAAACTTTTAAGAATTGCTGTTTGATCTGCTGGTTTGTTTTATTTGTAATTTGATCAAAAGTTTTCTCCAAAGGCATAGAGTACTTACCTATCATAAATACTTACCCCCTTGGATGTCTTATCCTTTAAAGGGGTCATAGAATGTAAAACAGAGTTTACATTGTCATAGATGAATAACGATAGTTCAGTGGGTGAAATAGACGTTCAGAGAAGCTCAAACCCCATCGACGCCTCCTTTCCCTGCAAATCTCACAATTCTAAACTTCTACCATAAAACGGGCGAATCCAAACGAATTGGTTCTGGCCTGTACTATTGTCACGCCCTGAAATCTATGCCGCTGACTGGACCGGACCTCAGCAGAGAGCCATGAGTCGCCCGTCCTCAGCCGGAGGAGGGTGCCGGTATGGCAGGCGGGGGGGAGCACGGTAGCCTGGACACGGGGGGCCGCCAGTGTCCAGGCTACTGTCACCTGGTCAGGTTCGGTCGCTCCATCCCCCGCTGACTCCCTGCCCCCGTCCACCGGTGTTCCCGGACCAGCCCCGGAGCTGACTGCTCAGTTCGAATGCCCGGTGTGTTTCGAATGCCCAGACAACTTTGAAATTCCCCCCCAGACATTATTTTAGGTATGAAAAGTTGGACATGTCTGGGGAAAAAGAAGACGTCTGGTCACCCTACCATATCAACAGTTTGTTGTTTCAGTGAGTGAGTGCTTGTTGCTATGATGCGTCTTTGCTCAGCAGCTTCGCTCGTTGTAAACCAACCAATCAGCACACAGCTCATCTAAATATTCATGAGCATACCATAAAAGGGAAGAAAACCTGTCGTTTAATTCTAGAGCTTTTAGCCAGGCTTGCATTAGGGCTCACAGAACAGCTAATATGCCATGTTTAGCCCAACCAGATGTTACACACCCTATTCAGAGACCTTAAGGACCAACACCAAATACCCTATAGAATCATTCTATGACCCCTTTAATTGCTCTCTTAAATTAATCAAATTTGGGTCACAAAGATTGACTAGGAAAAAAGTGAGAAAAAATGTTTACAAAATTAAACAAAAATCTAAATAAACCTAATGGTTAGTTAGACTATTATTTATCTCTTTAGGTCAATCAATGCACTGATTCTGTGGATGCGTCTCTATCAGGATGGAATATCATCACACACTGCAAATTTAGCTAAATTCTTCTTTGCAAACTGCTCAGGGTGTCAAGTTGTACCAGTTTCAGGTATTAAAAGCACTTTTCATGTCCAGCCACTACTTCTCTGTGGGACAGAGGTGTTTGCATTGGGGAAGGTCTGTTTTTAAAGACCAAGAAGTCTTCTTCCACCTGACCATGGAGTCTTTCACCTGCCTTTTAGCAAACTCTAGCAGAGATATAATTAGATTTTTCTTCTATGGAGGCTTTCTCATCACCACTCTCACATAAAGCATCCGTTTCTGTCTGCTCAGTCTCACTGGTCTCAGCAACTGGAGCTTGTAACTCCTTCAGCTGTAGGGGTAATAAGGGGCTTCACTTGCGCCATATTCCTTCCATTTTTTATTTAATTGATTTCACTGAACTCTGGGGGATGTTCTTGACATCTATCTCCTAAATCATACTTTTAAAAACTCTTCCTGAGTTCCTTAGAGTGTCTATTTATCTTCAGGGCTCAGTGTTAGTCAGGAAGTCAGACTATTCTATACTGATCCAATCAGATTGACCTGTATTGAATTAGACATTCATTTTAACAACTGGTGAATAATTATACAAACAATATTTACTTATATATTTTTTTGTTTCATTGAAATCGGTTTGTAGAAAGCAGTCTTTACTTTGAGATTTTTTCAGATACATTTTTTATGTGGCGAAAAGCCAATGTTTTTGGAGGTTACTTATGATTGTGCTAATCTGGCATAATGTTAAAGAGCAGAAATGACCTTAACCTCCTTAAAGTTATTCATAGATTACAAATAGATTAGTGTTGCCCAAATCCGCTAGTCCGAGATCAGAATCGACACTTTTTTGTCCTAAAATGCATTAAAGAAATGTTGTTTTTCTTCTATAAACCGGGTTAAAATTCAGGCGTTCTTTGCTTCTGTGGTGAAAATAGGAGAGATGTAAGTGATATATGCTTTGATGCAACATTGGTAGTTATCTAATTTATTCTTATATTTTCTGCTACAGTATATCAAACGACCATTTTTATCATTATGGTTTTTATATTTAGGGGAAAAAAACGGAGAGGAATTTGGCCTTAATTATTTTTTTGTTGTTTTTAAGTTACAATTGCTCTTTTATGAGCACATTAGTCTACTATTCTTAATTCTGCAAATAAATTGTCAAATAAGCAGGAAGTAACTATAAAAACATTTGTGACGGATATTAAATCTTTTTTTTTTTGTTTAGTCTTTTCCTTTTCAATTTTTAGTTTTCTGAATTCAGATCTTTACCTTGTTTGTTTAAATGTATTCATTGGGGAGATGTTTATAATTATTTTATCCTTATACTGATCCTTTTTTTTCACTAAAATGGAGGCTGATGTATCAAATGTCAGTTTACTGCACAATGATGGGGACCTTTTTCCATCTTTTATATTTGTGCCCTTTATTTACAGTTAAGTTAACAAATTTGATGGTCTTATTAGGGGAAGCCCAATCTCCAGTGTCTCCACCATAGCCTCCATTTCCTGCTAATGTTCTATTAGAAGTGGGGCGGGTGGAGGAGTGTTTGTGTGACCAGGAAGTCATGATTTAAAAGATCAGTCATGGAGCATCAGACGTAATAAACCCAGCTTCTACAATGAGGCTTCTTTCTTTGGCTTATGTCAAATCGTCATCAGCAGTTTATGTAAGGAGGGCAAAAAAAAAAAAAAAAAAAAAAAAAAAAAGAGGTGAAATTCTTCATCAGACTTGCAGCAGAAATTCTCTCATCGTCATGTGCTCCAGCCTGCCCTATCCATGAAGCGTAATTAAATATTTCAGTGATGGGAGCTCACTTTAAGGAGGATTTGAGGAAAAACAACAAAGCAAAAAATGAGCTTTGAACGTCTGAATTTGAGTTCCTCTTCACTAGAGCTTCCAAAGTTTGACTGATGGAGCTTTATTCTTATCTTTTCTTTTTTTTCAACCGTCAACGTCTTGAAAGTTTGATTCCTGTTGGTTATTTTTCATTTTTTCTTTGTTTTCACAGATTGAAGATAACCTTCAGGCTTTAGCTATCAGGTGTTTGATCTTTACTGTAGCTGCCCGCTCACCCAGCAGTTTCCCTGCATTTGGTCGCCATTTATCCAGAAACATGAATAAAGACGCACTTATCAGAAACCGATTTTTGCTTTTCTTTAGGCTCTGACAAATGCAGATTTTCTCTCCAAGGACGAGAACATGTATAAACAAATCTAATGGCGTATAAAAGACATTAAATAAATCAATATTTTTACACCATTTTTAAGATTACAATATCAGTCCCAGTTTTAATTGGTGTTTAATTCAGCGTCATCTTAGAGTCACTATGTCTCCTTAAAACCTTCATACAAAACAATTATTTGGGATGCTTGCTCAGTAAATTAATTTCTATTGTACTATTACTAATGTATAAATGTTAAGTTTGCAAATTTCTGTTAAAGTTTCATCTGGATCCAAGTGCTTAGGTCAAGTAAGGGTTAAAATTGAACTTCATTTCTGGAGAGAGACAAATCCTAGCAAACACCCCAGAGTTAAGCATGGTGGAGGTTCGTAATGCTGTGTGAATGTTGCCCTTCTATAGATACAGAATTTTTTTTTAAATGTACAGTTTAAAAAAAAAAAAGTTCTTCCTTTAGAATAATGGTCAGAAATATCTGGTCAAATCAACACTGACAGCAGAGAAAACCCTTCCAGGGTTATCAGTCCACAGCCCCGAAGTCTTTAGAAAATGTGGAAGACAAGATGGCAGCAGAAAAAAAATCCAATCTAGAGATTTTGCAGAACAAAACGGAGAAAGAACGATCTCTCAGTTTATGTTCCAACCCTCCAAATTGTTGTAAACCTAAAATGCTTGTGTTGGTGGAATAAAGTTTTATGACGTGTTAATAGCTGAACTGCCAATGACTGTGGTGCACCAGGTGTAAAATTAAAATGATTCCTCCACTAATTATTATTAGAATAAAAATTTGAATAATTGAACTTTATTGATCTATTTACTCTATTTATTGATATTATTGATACTGGAGAAATTTACCTCTGCATTGAACCCATCCCCTTGGGAAGCAGTGTGGGGTTAAGGGTCTTGCTCAGAGACCCAGAGTGGCAGTCTGTGGGAGTGGGTTTCGTACTCAGAACCTCAGGATTCCAAGCTCTATTCTCTAACCACTAGGCCGCCACTCCCTCAATTGATTTGTGTTTTAGATGTTACTGTGACTTTAAGAAGAGCTGTCAGGTTATAGTTTCAAATAATAGCTTTGTCCTATTAGTGTGATATTAATTTACTACTTTAACTTGGTGTTCACCTACAAAATCATGTGCTCTTTCATTTCTTATGTTTTCAGTGGAAATTTGCTCGATTTCCCTGAATAAATCCGGGTTTCCTTTCTGAAACTTGAATTTGCAGCCAATCAGATAATGTGTATGTTGGCGTTTTCCCAGCGGTCTGACAGCATCAGCTGCTCGCATTACGTCACACGTCTGCAAGGCTGAAGCAGTTTGATAGTAATGTCTGTCTGCGAGACGTTTTCCCAGCTGCATTCTTAGTTTATCAGCTCCATGGACGGTTCCCACCACTTTCCTGACCGTTATGAGCCATGTGCTCATGACTGTGGAAACACAGAGACCTCTGTTTTCTCCAAAGTCATGCTGTTGGCAGAGAGGGAGGAAGGAAGCTCTCCTGCCATCTTTTTTTTTTTTTTTAGCTTTCACTCTGTCCTCTTGGAAACTGGATGGAATATAAAGAAAAAATTTAAAATCAAATTAATGTGTTTGTCTTTTTTTTTCTTCTAGTCTGCTCGGGTTTGGATCCCTGATGCAGAGGAGGTGTGGAAGTCTGCCGAGCTCACCAAGGACTACAAAAATGGCGACGCCTCGCTGCAGCTCATGCTGGAGGACGGAACGGTGAGATCATTTAATAACAGAGGGATGATCTGCCCGGATTTCTTTTTTCCTCTTTGCTTTTGCTGCATCTCATTAGTGGTCGAACCATTAACACACAAATGGGAATTTGAAGCCAAGACGCCTCCAAGGAGCGTATTAAAAGGTTCACTACATTTAATTTGTTTCCATTAAACACAAACCACTATGAACTCACTTCTTCCTTTAAGCAGTCAGAAAGAGGCACTTTTTTGACTGCACAAGGTAGCCAAACTATTTGTAAATGGATGCCCTCAGGGTTTTAAAATGCATGTGATAATTTAAAATGCAGCCAGAAGCTCCACGAACACATCAAAGAGGTCTTTTGTTTGGCTCTGATTGCATATCTAAATGTTTAATGTTCCCAGATTTTGCCAACAGCTTTCTGTGAAACAGTATTCAGCGAAACAAGCTAAAAAGGAATCTTTATGCGGTTTTGTTGGAGAACCAGAATATCTACGGTACACAGATGCACCGATCTGATACCGATACCTGGGCTGAGCCCATCAGCTGATATCAGTCCAATACTGCTGTTGAATAAATAAACTGAATACCTGTGTGAGTAAAGCAATCAGGATTTTTAAACATAGACAAATCAAAAACTGTTATAAATATACTTCATATTATTTTTTAACAAATGAAGTGAATATTAGCAGCATAAATAAGGAAGTAACACCTTCAAGTGAACCACAGACAGACATTTTAGAATATGATTTAAGCTATAGCTGCTGCCTAAAAATCGCAATTAAATCGCTGGCAGTGTTGGATATGAACATGTTCAATGAATGGCGTTCAATTAACTTGTAAACAGATCAGTTTTGGAGTAATCAACGAGAAGAATGAGCGACTCACACAGCTCACATTAGCGTTCAGTTTATAACGGCACTGCATTGGATAACATCGGGTTTTACGGCACTTATTGCGTCAAACAGCCTGAAAGACCAGCATGTCTACTGTTGGTACTAGTCTTTTAGATTCGACTCATCTGCTGGTATTTCTGATGCCAGATTAGCAGAGATTTATGAACTAACAAAAGGAAAACTCAGACAGAATAAAACTCACGTTTTTGTGCAAACTGTTCCCACCGGGACTTAGCAAACAAATCCGTCTGTCAGCCACATCCAGTTCACATTTATATCGACACATCGAGTCAAAGCATCCCAGAAATTTTGGGAAATATCTGCTACTAAATGAGGGATTGTAAAAAAATAATTTTGGATCCAGATCTTTTCGGCAGAACCTGAATGTTAATGAATGTTTCTGAAGTTCTGTGTAATTCGGCTAAATAAAGGCTTCACTGCACATCCAGTAAACCTTGACTGCATCCAATATTTTCTATTTCTTTCTATATATTATGATCACACATTTAAAGGGGGAAAATATGAGCTTCTATTGTGGAGGATTGTGGCTTCATTTAGCAAATGAACTTGAACTAGTTCATTTATAGGTTTGTGAACTTAGTTCATGGTGAGCTAGTTCATTTTCATCTGTGGGAACTGAACTTTAAGCTATTACTTTTTAATGATGAACTGGCACAACATTGACTGCTAGAACTGGGTTGCTGTTAAAAAAAGAATAGAGTGGATCAGAAATGCTGGACCGGCATCATTAAGTAGACTACTAATCAGCTAATTATGCTATAAGATTAATGCTGTTTCTACCTTTTATTTACCTCCAATTTAACTGAACTTTAAAAAAAAAAATGCTTGAGGCTTATAGTGAACTACAGGGACTAGGTGAAGGAGTCATGTCCTTTATTCTTTTTAGCTTTTTCCCATTTTGTCGACTTTCTAGCAGAAGCTTAAACATGTTTTATTGAGATTTGAAGTAGCAGATATCCAATAATTTAACATTTTAAGATGTGGAGAAAGTGTTTCTGCATTGTTAATTATTTAAGTTTTCTCTAAAATGATTAAAATCATAGAAGGTCGAAACCCATGGCATGATTTTTAGTGTTTCTTAACCCCTAGAACCCTATGGACCCACCGGTGGGTCCAGCTGCTACGTGACCTCGTAATTTTAACAAACCCCCAGTATTGATGTAAAAAACACATTTGGCACAGTTTGGTGACATTTTTGGATAAATGTGCCAAAATGGCCTCTCCGCCTAAGAAATTTCTCACTAATACCATTCTAAAATAAATATGATTCATCTGATTGAGTCCAAATTTGGTATATTTTTACACAACATTTAGATTTAAAAGTCTGTACTACTTTTTTGTGCTATAAATAATATTTTGGTAGTGTGTTGCAATGTTTATTTCAAAGAAAATTTTGGCGAGGTTCAAAAAATGCAAAATATTTTGTATTTTGTCCCTAATATTTCAGGCAGGGTCAAAGCTACAATGGTGCTGACACCAGAAAACCATTCTATGACATCTTACCTTTACAGAGGTACCAAAGGTATCTTCTTAAATCGAATAGCTGTGAGGCTATAAGTGATTTACTTTTGTGTTTTTTTGTCAGGCAGAAATTTATTTATACGCCCTTAGGGTGTAAGAGGTTAAAAGCATCTTCAGTGTGAGGATTGGTTGGCAACAGAGCTGCTAAATATGATTTGCAGTCGCTGTTTCAGTGAGAGCTAAACTGCTGTATTAAATGATTGTTTGGATGCAAAATTGGCATTTCATGTTTATTCTGGTCTCATGCATTCAAACTACTTGAGTATAATACAATCCATGTATTATATACCTAAATATGATAAAGATCTTATTACCAAGGTGCAAAAAGTCAAGGAGAGAAACAGCAGAATCAAAACAGTCTATTATAGCCAATGTATGTGTAGTTAGTGCTTAGAAAAACTGGTATATGATTTTTAAATGAGAAATGGTGTTACGACCAATGACTTGTGATGTTACAGTAAGCCCTGTTTTTCTCTTGAGCTTCAGGTTCCATGGCAATTAATAAGGTCATCATGAGTTAAGTCTTTAATGCAGTATTCAACAATAGTGTCTTGATGTTTTTCTAAAGTAACATAAGGTAAAGTTAGGAGTATTAGGCTAAATGAGTATAATCAGAACATTAATAGAGCCAGTACAGTACAGCCAGTACATTAATACAGCCAATACAGTTTTATGTTGAAGTGTAACTCACCCCAATATATATATTGTACTCGAGTTGAGGGGGGATTAGGGGGCAGCCCCTTCCTAAAAAAATCTTAAAAATCATCCCCCTTCTTAAATTAAGCATCACCTCCCATACCATCCCGTGACATTTTATTACTGAATGAGTAAAATTTCTACTTTATATTAACAGTAATGACAATAATATTGCCTTTTTAACATTTGGCGGGCTGTGGGCTTACGAATAGCCTGAACAAAATAAAATCAAAGAAGCGTCCTACCATGATTATGAAGCTGATCCCAGTGGGAAATTAGTCCCTAACTATGTAGGGGCAGTGATAGCCAGGGACTGACTGCAGTTCTACTGTAAGGTGCCTTGGTCAGGGTCAATGACCGGCGTACCTGACATGGAACAACCAGACCATGCATACTGCTTTAGGTTAATAGACATATATATATTTACATACACTGGGAATGGACTGGGGAATGGAAAAATCCATGAAAGCGTAGCAGTGTGTAAGCATTCACTGCCAGTCTAGGCAGCATGTGGGCAATGAAATGGAATAATGTAAACAGATGCCAAACCCCATGATGCACCGCAACATATTTTTGCTAAATATTCGAACATAAATTGGCCAAATATAAGAGGAACATCGTAGTTTGGTTCAAAGAAAACATTTTAGTTTTATTATAATTTAGTTTGTTGCAAGGATTTTACAGTTTGAAGAAATAGAAAATGACACCATATGCCAACTGTCACAAAGATGTGGATGACAAGGAAGAGCTATATGCTGCATGCATCATTTAGGTATTTAACATTGCATTACTTCTTGAGCTGCTTGAGTTATTTACTGTCACAGATAGGTAGGTGCTTCGGCCAGAGAGTAAGTGTTTAATTTATAGAGGGCCGGGCTTAGCACAATGAAATTAGGACCGGCCCGCTGGGGCGCTATTTTAATGTGCAGTTTTTTGACATTTTCTTGTGATTATTTTTTGAAGTCTGGAATATTTGTCTGAATACTGTCCTGGTGCTGCCCTGGTAGGGTTGAACAGCGAATATTGCAGTTTAATTTTCTTATTGGTTTAAACAGTTCATGGCGATAGAGGTACTTCACTAGTACAGGGGTTAGCGAGTCTCCTGTCCTCCACTGCCTCAGTAGCACGAGCTATGACAATCGCTGAGTCAGCGCTTTTTTGGCAAGATGTTCAATGGGATCAGTTTTCTGCCCACTGGGCTCCATAAAGGGGGGAGATCTCAAAGGATCTGTCCATGGTGTAACAAATAGCATCTTTGCTCGTTCTCCATACCACAACCTGACCAAAAACCACTATAGATGGACGATAAGTCCATATATATTGACTGATTATATTGTCAACAGTCTAATCATCCGCGATATGTCGATATTCTTATAGGCGATTTTTCTTTTTATTCCATAATTTACACGATTAAAAATGACTCAGTGAAAAGTGTTACACAAATCAAAGTTTAAACAAAAGGGAAATTTTTAATAACAAATCAAACAAAACAATAATGGAAAGCTAATGGAAGAGCAAGAATCAGGATATTGCTGCTGAATGCGCTAATGAATCAGCAAACACTTATACATATCTGCTGTTTTTGCTCAGTTAAAAAAAAAAATAGGTTTTTTCTGCACCGACGTCAGACATTTGGTTTCTCTCTGGTTTAATGGATTTTTCTTAAAGCTGATAAGAAAAGAAAGTGGGCTATTTTTTTCAGGAAACTGCATAAGTTTAATAAAAAGCCAAAATATAATCCTGTTTTGGCCTAAAACATTATAAACAGTTGTCAAACAGTCACTGACAGCCAGCAGAAGGATGGTAAGACACGGAGTCCTGCTGTGTTCAAGCATTTTAATGGAAAATTGAGTGACAAAGGCGCAGAGGCAGCTGGGATGAAAAGAACCTTAAAACGGTTGTTGAAATAAAGGTGAAGGAGATTCATGACTTGGATTTTGGATCGGTGCTTCTAAGCCACCACAAACAGAGGCTCTTAGGAGAAGGAGGGGAAGCTGGCTAATGTCTTATGCCTGGCGTACGCTGTACAATTAATTTTTTTGCCCTTTTCGGGCCGATTCTCCAGTCGTGCATCAGGCTTACTTTCAGCCTGATTGTGCGTCGTGTAGTGTACAGGGAGTAACGAGGGGCCATCAGCCTCTCACGACGATCAGGAATCGTAAGTTCGGGAGAAAATCAAACATGTTTGAAGTTCAGTGGGCCTTCATAAGGTCGCATCAGAGTGTTAGAACATGCATCGTGAGCTGTGAACTTTTAAACCCTGAGGTTTCATCGTACAGTGAGCTGTAGCTGCATGCAACGATTGAAAATATCGCACAGTGTATGCCTCCCCTCCTCCACTCAGGTTAGGAGATGAAGGACTTGACTCTTGGCTGCAAAATGCTCCAAAGTGAGCAACGGTCAGGCGCAGTCGGACCTGTGTTGTTTGATAGGAGTTGTGATTCTGTTTTGTTGACTTCTTGTCTCAGAGCATTGATCATAAGCTGGACCCCAAAATGAAGAACCTGCCTTACCTGCGGAACCCAGACATCCTGGTGGGCGAGAATGACCTCACTGCTCTCAGCTACCTCCACGAGCCCGCCGTGCTCCACAACCTTAAAGTCCGCTTCATCGACTCCAAACTCATCTACACCTACTGCGGTAAGTTGTTTTCTGATGCCGAGCTTCAAAGTGTGCAGATAAAATATGTTGTCATTAATGTTAAATGATTTCAGCATTTCTTTCCCCTTTTTCTCTCCCTTCCAGGAATCGTTCTTGTTGCCATCAACCCTTATGAGACACTGCCAATCTACGGCAGTGAAATCATCAATGCCTACAGCGGGCAGAACATGGGAGACATGGACCCTCATATCTTTGCTGTGGCAGAGGAGGCTTACAAACAGATGGCAAGGTGTGTTAGTGTGTGTGTGTTACCTGAGGAGCCGGTCTGCCTGTTGCTCAGCCCTCCCTCTCCCCTCAGGGTTTGTAGGTCAGAACGGAGACAGAAATAGCCACATGGTGGTCACACTGTCCGCTCCCCCTGTTCCTGTGATCTAAAACAGACATGGCTCAAAGAAAAAGATGCCAAACTTTATTCCACGGTGAAACCAGTTTGTTTTCTGGGAGCTTTGGTTTCTAACTCACTGACTGATACAGTGAGATGAATGAGGGAATTAAGCTGTATGTAGACTTAGACAAACTTTATTGTCATTTTGTATGCACACTGTGTTTAAAAAACAAACTGACATTGCTTACAGCTTACAACAGTGTAGTAAAATTACAGTTGGAGTAGATAAAAATTACCAATGCAGCAGAATGTAACAATGTAGAAAAACTAGGAACCAGTTTAAATAATGGTGCAAAAGGGCATTGATCTGAAAAAGTTCAGTACTGTGCAAAATAAATATGGTGCAAATGCAGTAGAACATTGATTTGTCTCCCAATTAAAAGGATTATAAAAGTTCAGAAATATTGGTAGTGCAAAATAATGTGATGCAGATTCCAATTTAGAGTTCAGCAGTTCAACAGTGTGATGGCAGTGGGGAAGAAGCTGTTGCAGAACCTGCTGGTACTGCATTGGATGCTGCGAAGCCTCCTCCCAGAGGGCAACAGGGAGAGCAGTCCATGGTGGGGGGTGTGAGGGGTTATTGACGGTGTTACGGGTTCGGGACACCCAGGGCTGGGATGAAATGTCTTTAATGGAGGGAAGAGGGGCGTCAATGATCCTCCCCTCTGTTTTCACCTCGCTCCTCACGTTCTTTTAGTCTGAGACGCAGCAGCCTCTACACCACACAATGAGCTAACTGGACCTGGGTTCCCCTCATGTGGAGGAAGCTGTGCCAGTTGGAACATTCATGGAACCGCAGCAGTATGCTGAGGGAAACATTTACCTCGGCTTCCAGGGGAAAGCTGGTCATCATTTTTGGGGAGCTAAGCCAGAGCTACAGTGGCTGCCCACAGATGATCACCTGATTCCCATTGGTGGCCGATTAACTTTAGCTGAACTGAAATCATTGGCTACAGTGTGTCAAAGCAGAAGAACTCCTAAAAGGTTCTGGACTCACTTTGGATCCCTCTGATTTTGACCTAGCCGTGTTTATTTCTTAAAATTGTCTAGTTAAAGTACAGACCTATATCTGACCTAGAATCTGCAACAAAACATAAACAACTCATACAACAACAACTTCATAGACTAGAGCCTCTTTCACACCTTGACAAATTAGCCAGCGTATGCCTGACGTGTAAAAACGCTAGAATACGTTCGATAAGTTATGGGTACGTAAACAGCAGCTAGGTAAATAACACGATCAAAGAAATCTTTTTATGCAGGCCGGGTGCCTCCCGGCGCATGGCTGCCCCCTTCAGGACACTGGCTTGCATTACGCTGCATTATGCAGAAGTTAGGCTGTTGTTGGACATACGCTCTGGACTTATTATGAATACTCTAAGTATACGCACAAAATTGAAAACATGCATTAAAAATTCAGCGTTTTAGGAGATTCTGGGACGTCAGGCATACCCTGGCTAAATCAGCAAGGTGTGACATTTTTACCAGCTCTGTTTCTTGAAAGAATATATTCAGGTTTGTATGACTGGTTAATGTCATCCGATCCTAACTCCACCCTAATATAAATTGAGTGAAATAAGCTTAGGCTAAAAACAACCTAAATTGACTCTTGTCTCTCAGCTTCAGTTTCTTTTATCCGTTTTGTTTTGCAGGGATGAGAGGAACCAGTCGATTATCGTGAGTGGAGAGTCCGGAGCAGGAAAGACTGTCTCAGCCAAATATGCCATGAGGTATTTCGCTACCGTCAGTGGTTCTGCCAGCGAGGCCAACATAGAAGAGAAAGTTTTAGCATCCAACCCCATCATGGAGGTGAGAAATACAGTATGATCTCTTGGCTATTATTACGTCACTCATATCTAACAAAACCGAGATGCATTAAGCGGTCAAACTTTCTCAGAGGGTTTAATAAAGAGGAAGGTGAGATCTAGAGATGCAAGAATCTGTCAGCATGGCATCATATCGGCCAACTATTCCAGCTTGGATTGATGATAAACTACTCAAAATGTATTTCTTTATCTCTTCAGTGTAGTTGTTTAGGTTTTTATCTCCTATAGCGTCTCCTCCACATCTCCATCCCCCACCCTGTCTGTCCGGCCAACATCAGTCTTCTTCCCCGCTGCAGTTGGTGAAATGAATAGGGGTCTTTCTCTCCTTGTCGCAGTGATGTCACCTCAGCCTATAAACCTGGATTCAGAGCAGATGGTTGCATCAGCCTCGCCGGTTTCACAGAACCAGTCTGTGTGAACGTTAGTTTATCGGAGAGAGAGAGAGCTGTTTACTCCTGTTTGGCTGATGCTGGCAGACATGGCGATACCTGCTCTGCTGAATGCTTCCTTGTCTGCAGTGAAAGACCGTGTGTTTGGACTTAACTCAGCAAGAACCCTCTGTGCTCGTGCTTAATCTAATTCTGTTCAGGGTAGCTGGTATTTGGCTTTGATGTGTGGATTCACGCGGCCCCACCCGTCTGTGCTCACTGATCAGTGATCCTCAATGGATCTGCTACTGCTGTTTATTCATCTGGATGCGTACAGTAGATCAGAAGGTGAAGGTACCGTCTCATTAGACCGCCGTGCAGAAAGCAAGGTTATATGAAAGCAAGGTTTCTCTCACTGTACTCTAATTTGACCTGCACATTTTTTTCATCTGCTCATAAAGAAGAATGTCTTTCAGCTTCTGAACTTATTAAAATCTCATCCAAAGAATATTGAAGGCTATTAATATTTCAGAGGGAAAAGGAGCCTTCCTGGCTGCCTCCATTGGATGTTGGAGCTTATCCTTAATAACTGACAGATCATCGATGCTGCCACTTTTCTAAAAAGAGAACTTAAGCCAGTTTGCTGCTGCATTATAACCTTGTGCTGCAAGCTGGATGGTCGTGAGATCAGAGTTTTCAGTCTCACAGCAAATCCATCTTGAAAGACTCCTGCTATTACCTACATCTCTTAACAACCAGTGAGTTGGACAAATGACATGATGCCAGCAGTGCTTTTTTGGGGCAGGACATGTAGGAATGACGACAGTCAGAACGGCCTTGCTGGGGCATTACAAACATGGCTATACTGGAGGACTCAGCTGTTGAAACTGCAATGGAGCTAAAATAGCAAGAATTTCTCATTTAAAAAAAAGAGGAAAGAGAAGCGTTTTGTTCGTTTGTAGATGGGAAAGATGTCTGTGCTTTTCTCCTGACAGGATTTGGAAAAAGTTTAATTCAATTCCGTTTATTTCTATAGTGCCAATTCACAACGCATGTCATCTCAAGGCACTTTACAGTTCACCAGATCATCCAGTCAGATTGATTCAAAGTTTTCTATCTAAGGAAAACCGGCTGATTGCATCGACTCATTTACCCGAAGGCGATCTCTCATAGTAAGCATGCTTGTAGCGACAGTGGAGAGGAAAAAGTCCCTTTTAACAGGAAGAAACCTCCAGCAGAACAAGGCTCAGTGTGAGCGGCCATCTGCTGAGGCTGACTGGGGTTCGAGGAGACAGAAGCAGAGATACAAAAAGCAACTGCAAAAGGCGGCCCCGTCCAGGAAACACACAGCCAGGTAGACAAGCTCTGAGCCAGCTCCCATGTCAGAGGATGAAGAGAGCACATCCAGCTGCTCTCTGTGGAAGCACACGTTTAACCCCTGAGAGCCTTGGTAGTTTTATCAGCTTACTCCACTAGTTGTGAAAACACTCAAGAAACTGCAGACAAATCCTATTGTGGTTCTGCAGTTGGCTGAATGTGTATTATTGAAGGCGGGTACTAGCTGGCACCTCACCCAATCAGCTCGAAGTATTGTAATAAAAGTCGCTCCTTTTCCCAGACAGACTGAACTGCAGCCATCCCAGATTGATAACGTAGAACTCAACTCAGTTCTACACATATCAGTCTGGCTACTGCCAGGTTAACTCCATTATATACGGCTTTCAGTCAATTCAAAGCCAGGATGGAGACATTATCAGTTCGCTTAGAGAAGCAGCTGATGCTGCCCATCTCTATGAGAAAAGACATTTGACCATATTTAGTCTAATTTATATATTAGTATATTTAGTGCAAATACAAAGAGCTCTGTTTTGAATTCAGCGTTTCTTGGTTTGCATTTTTAGAAGAGTTTATCATGAAAAGAAGCTTTTTTTCTACTAATTAACACAAGGAACAATATCCTTTTAAGGAAAAAACACAACCTAGAATCTCAGCAGGAACACCTCAGACTAATTGACAAGCACGGTGGTGGCAGACTTTATGGCGCCACTGAAGATGCTGGTATCAGAAATGGCTCAAATATTAGCAGAAATAAAAATAATGGATTTGATCAGCCTGTATTTAAAAATCTAAGAAATAGGGAAGCTAACAGAAACGGTTCCCCTCTGTTTAAAGTTTCTGGGACCCATTGGTTAATAATACATGGGTCGAATGTTTTCATGTTCACTATTCTATCTGCTTGAGTTAATATCATTTGTTCAAGCCTTTTCTAACATCCCACAATACAAAATAGGTTAAATTATGTATAATTTGTGCTGATATCAATGTCAGTATTGGTCAATACTTAAAGCTGCCATATCTGTATCGTATTGGAAATGGACAAGGCGTACCAGGGCACCATTAGGCTTTACATGTCTCGTTTATCCTGCAAGGTTTTAACAGATTTAACTAGTGGAAATATAATTTTAAAGATGATTAATAACTTAGCATTTAAAGCAGTGAATTCAGGAGGATTAATTGTTAAAGAAGAGGATGAATATTAAATAAATGTCAGAATCCTGTGTTCTACTTTAATATGTTGATAGGACTGAGATGATGTGTCCTGCATGACTAATTTAAAGTCACCATTTATGCCCCTTTGAATTGTTACGAGGGTGTGTTTCTCTCATGTGTTTTTCAGGCCATCGGAAACGCAAAGACCACACGGAACGACAACAGCAGCCGCTTTGGCAAATACATCGAGATCGGCTTCGACAATCGATACCGCATCATCGGGGCCAACATGAGAACATATCTGCTGGAGAAATCCAGAGTGGTGTTCCAGGTGTGTGAGGAAAAGAGATGCAGAAACTATAAAATTCAGTCCTGGTGAATAGAGTTGCCACATGCTTGCAAAGGGGGAGATTATTTCATTTGCTAATGACAGGGATCTCAATGAAAAATAGCAGTTGGTTGTGCAATGCATCAGTTTGGTCATAGGGAAAGGTAGCATGTATCGTCCTAAAGCTGAGACTAAACCACACTGTCTGTTAGAGTCATGGCCGAGACAGATAAGCTGATTATTGGTGATGGGATGACGGATCGATCGAAACAGAAAAAAAAACAAAAAAAAAAACTGTTTGTGGCTGCTAACGTCTGCAGATTGAGGTGAAAGTTCAACCTGAGGAACGACAGCGAACCAAAACATTTTAGGAGAGTCGCAAGAACAGGGTTTAAATAAGATCCTCCTGAAGGAGACGTCTAGCATTGGCAGAGCAGCTGTCCTTTAGATCAGTGGATGTTTATACACTTTGATGGCTTCTTTAAACTTAAATCTGAAATCCTACTTTGAACTTTTTTTTTTGAGAATTGAAGATTGGGGCTGCAACTACCGATTATTTTGGAAATCGATTAATCTGTCGAGTATTTTTTTCGATTAACCATTTAATAATCTGATAGGCAAAGCTTCCTTAAAGGAGACTTTTACGAAATTAAACCAGATCAAGCTAAAACTTTTCTACTTGAGGAATTCTGAATAGAGCATTTTGACAGACGAAAACATTTTTTTTATCTTAAGCCAAATGTTTATATATTTTTTTCAATCTTGGTATAACTACTGCTCTTAGAGTGTCGCCTGTCAGCTACAGGCATGTTTTAGAGTTTCTATACTCCAGTTTATGATTAATCAGATACGAAATTAATTGACGATTATTTCAATAATCGATTAATCACAATTAACCGATTGTTTCAGCCCTAGTGAAGATTGATGTTTCCGGATGCTCTCCGTCCAGTCTGACCGTCTGACACTAAAATATATTGTCTCTGTTCTCTGGTTGCTGCCAAACCTCTCAGATCTTTATTTGTAAACCATTAAAATAAGTGCATCTCTTTCCTTCTAATTCACTATATGAGCTAGTTTGTTATTCTGTAACTTAAAACCCAGAATAAATTAAAGTCTAAGGCTTAAAAAAGACGCAGTGTAAAAAGTTGTACATCAGCAGGGCTGTATTACTTCAGAACTGGCATGTCAACCTGCTGATACAAGTCTGTTGAAATCTGCTTAATGTCAGCCAAAACAAAGCAAGTTCTGCCTGACTGAGTTGTTTCCTTTGCTTGGATTGTGTTGCAGATTTCCCAGAACAGCAAAGCTTGAGAAAGAAATTATCTTTTTCTTTTTTTCTTTTACCGTTTGAATGAACACCAGTTTATCCCAAAATAAATGTGAGCTTATCAGCATCTGTGATTCCAAGCTGTAATCAAATCTACACATTAGTTAAGAAACCAAGCCCACTCTGAGCTTTTCCTGTCTGCCCAGCCAGTAGTTGTCAGTCTGGTTCTGGCGTCTTTATTTTAGAAGAGCTCGGCATTCATTTCCTCATGTCTGAAGCCTCCTTTGCCTTTTCTTCCTGGTTTGCTTAGACTGAACTGGAGTTTAAAGAATCATGTTTCATTTTATTTCACGTTAATCTTTCAGTTTCCATATGTGTGAATTATTCAGCAGCTTCTTTTGGCATAGATTCTGGAAGACAGCCTCTAAAAACAGCTGTTTTCCTTCTGAACAGGACCTCTTTGCTGGCAGAGTTGGGTTTCTAGCTCTAGAAACCCATTTCTATGTGTGTGTGTGTGTATTCTCTGCTTGGGTGTTTTCTGTCTCCATGTGGGTCACAGTGAGCCAGACTTCCATCTGATGTGGCTGCGAGTTTTAAACTGGGCGGGTGTTGTTTGCACCTGGTGTAGCACAGATTGTTGATGACGTGTCAGGAGCTTCCAGTTTTTATGTGCCCTGGAGCAAAAGAACTGATTCCAGATCTTCCAGTTTCAACAACTGTCAAATCATGCATCAATTATAATGCAAATATTTCACAAATCAAATCTTTTTAGTCTAGGTTCATCTAGTTTTACCTTCCATCACATTTTATCATGTTTTTGTTTTTTTATTTGTTCTCCCTGCTGGCCTTCAGGCGGACGAGGAGAGGAATTACCACATCTTCTATCAACTCTGTGCATCGGCTAATCTGTCTGAGTTCAAGAATCTGAGGCTAAGTAAGTAACCTGTACTTCTACCTCCTCACATACTTCACATTACAGCAAAGGAAATCAGGAAACACTTTCTGGGAGGCTGCATGCAGGTTAAAATATCCCTGATCCTTCTGGATTTAGAGGGGTCATAGAACGATTATATAGGTTATTTGGTGCTGGTCCTTAAGGTCTCTGAATTGTTTGTGTGGACATGTCCTACTTTACATACCTAAACAAATGTCATTATTTTAGGCATGGCATTAGGCATACCTAAAAAAAGGCATGGCTTGCGGTTGTGATGGCCTTATGGTCGGAACAGCCCCTCGTTTCAGTAAAAGAAGTTTAGCAAATCCTGCTTTGAACTGTCCAATATTTTGAAAGCTGTCTTCGGTAAAATGCTTAGAGCAAATTAACAGCTGAGCATCAAACTTTGCAGGGATCTTCTGATAGACAAAAATAATCTATGCTTGTCAAGTCTTCGGATCCTTGGGAAGAATGAAAATTTTCCCATTTCTCCCTGCATCCTGGAACACTGCATTTGCTCCCGTTGTTCTGGCTCATTTTCAATAGAGAAACTTTCTGCTTCGTAATTCTTGAAGAAGTAAACCGAACTGTAGGCTAAACAGCTAAACTGTTGTCTTACATCTACCTCTATTCATGTTCTTGGGCCAGTGAACCAGTGGGCTGGTTTGTATGTCAATTTCAGGGTGTGACAAAAGTACAGGCAGGAACCAAATAAGGAAACATCCCAGAATTAACTTCAACTCAGGGCTTCGTTTGGATTTGCCCGTTTTATGGTGGAAGTTTAGAATTGTGAGATTTGCAGAGAAAGGAGGTGTCGATGGGGTTTGAACTTCTCTGTACGTCCATTTCACCGTCTGAACTATCGTTATTCATCTATGACGATGTAAACTCTGTTTGCATTCTATGACCCATTTAACTGCTGTTTCTCTGCACATCTACTACATTTACCAAATAACCAATGAGAAGGCAGGTTGGGAATATATGTTTGCAGTATGATCGCAATTAGTTAAAATCCGTCTTTTTATGTTTCAAATCAATTAGTTACATTTACAAAAGATTTTTATTGAAATGTATAAATTGTCTTTTTACCATTTCCCTCTTTAATTATCTGTGATTAGCGGGTTAATATGTGGGGCTGTATGCCTTGGTGGCGAGCCTACAGTAAGGCATCTTTTGATTTTTAAAATATACCTCGACTAGGAAGGATTCTGTACGTTTTCAAGTTTTCTTCTGTCATGGAATATTTCTAAACAGCTCAGTTGGTGCTTTGTTTCGTATTTTGTTTGCAAGAGAAAAGTAAGGAGCTCCTTTCTTCAGCTGACCATCAGTGCTCAGCAACAGGTAGGGGAGGGGAGGTGCTACGTAACTTTATCTCCCAAACAGCTGGAGAAAGTTTACTGGATTTCACTGGATGGAGTTTCAAAGTTCAAAGTATCAGGATAACCAGCAGGTTCTTTGTAAAGAGTTTCAACATGTCTGCCTTCTGCTAAAGCTGCAGGGTCATAAAATCTCCACATCACCATATCCTTTTTAATCAAGACTTTTCCTTTGGCTTCATAAAGAAGCGTTTATGTTGCGGGAGCAAACTATACAGGAGTCCTGCTGCTCCTGTCTTCATTTTCTATTGAAATAGGATGAAAATGAAAAAGAAAATGTTTAATCAAGTGTTAAATATGTCAAATAATTACTAAAAATAGTCGAATGCTATAAAAAATGTTCCCTATTTTAGTATTTTGCCTTAAGAGCGTTGACTTTGAGTAGCATAAAAAGTGATATTTACCATGTTTGAATGGAACAGTTTGTTTAGTAAAACGGCGCTGGACGTGATCATGTTCAGATGGATCCAGTCATGCTCCTGCTGTGCTAACACACTGTCAGTAGTTGAACACGCTCCCATAGCAGACCTGCACCTGCTCATCCTGAACACACAGCTGCTGTCTTCATCTCCTGCTGACTTCCTGGCTCTGTTAAAGGAGAGGTTGTCACAGTAATGCTGGGGCCTCTTGTTGCCAGGCAACAGGCTATACCCTAATTTAGTAATGATTGTGAATAAAGAACCTGATTGTGAGAAACTTAGGGGTGTCATCACTTTAGGACAGAAGCCCTTTTGATTTTGTTTGTCTTGCAGAAGCTCATCATCTCACATGGTGGAGTTGAAATCTGCCCTGGGCAGATCTGGACGTTTCCTAGATATTAGAGACGTACCAATCAGATGTCTGATTTCTGATCTTCAGCTCTTAAAAAGCTTTCATCGGTTTGGCCGTGTCTGATTTCTCTCTAAGAGCTCTAAAAAAGTTCAAGAGCAGAATAAAAACAAACAAAACTTTCCTGTACCTCTGTTGTATGACATGAGGGTTTATTATTATATCATAGATAGAGGTGATGTCACACTGTGTGAGAGGGCAGGTGCTGTAAACTGAGTTTTAAGATATTTCCAATAAAAAGAGCAGTCTTTAATTTTTTACATCTGTTGATTGGAAAATGAGGTTTTTGATGATTGAGTTTCCAGCTAATCAAAAATGGTCCGCTGTTATTTAGCAGGGAATATTTAGTGTATCGTTTATCCAAACGAAGGGCCTTTGGCCGAAAACTGCATCTGAAGGCACTTTACAAGGACGATGCTGTCAGATGGGTTAGCATAACCAGCTGATTGCATCCAGTCATTAACTTTCAACACATGCTCCTCCTGAATGACGACCTCCGCTTGCATTTTGTCGTAGACTCTTCAGCAATCCTTCACACTGAGATGCATGTAGTGACAGTGGAAAGGAAAACTCCCTTTTAAAGGGAAGAAACCCTCAGCAGTTTGCAGCTATTCTTTGTATAACTGCAGAAAATGGCCTCCAATGTGTTTCCTGACTGTTTTTCCCTCCCTCTAATCTAGAACCTTTTAAAACAAATTTTTTTTCACTACTGCCAACCATTTCTTATGTCATGTATCTCTTTAGCTCTTAATTGCCATCTGGATATTTGATGAGCTTAGACATTTTAGCCTTTGGTGTTTGTATTTCAGTGTTAATATAGTAAAGAGAAGAAGCAGAGTTTCTGGTAAACACGTCTGATTATCCAGAAGTAATCCATCTTTCTCCTCTCAGGCAGCGCAAACGACTTCCTCTACACCAGGCAGGGTCGCAGCCCTGTTATCGAAGGTGTAGATGACGCCAAAGAGCTTTGCACGACTCGCCACGCCTTCACGCTTCTGGGTAACACATTTAGGACATTTCTGTGTCTCTAGATATTCTGTTTTTTTATTTATGTAATTTTTTTATTGAATTCCTGACTCTTAGATTTGCCTTCTCCTGCTGCTAAAATGCTCCATATTCCTATATTTGATAAATGTGCTCGTCTTGTCTTTGCTTTTTGCAGGTATAAACGAGTCCTATCAGATCGGCTTGTTCCAGGTTCTGGCTGCTATTCTTCACCTAGGAAATGTGGAGATAAAAGACAGAGATTCAGACAGCAGCATTATTGCTGTGAGGATGCAAATTTTTGGATTTTAATTAAATAGATACATGCAAACTAATGGTGTCATCACAATAACTGAATAATTTTTCTGTAACATTTGACCAAAAAAGGTCAGGTTTGCTGAGATCTGATGAAATAAACCTTTATGGCTTTCTGTTTCAGCCCAACAATCGGCATCTGACGGCGTTCTGTGAGCTGGTGGGCGTGACCTATCAGGACATGTCCCATTGGCTGTGCCACAGGAAGCTGAAGACGGCCACGGAGACTTACATCAAGCCCCTCCCCCGCCTTCAGGCCACCAACGCTCGCGATGCTCTATCCAAACATATCTACGCCAAGCTGTTCAACTGGATCGTGGAACACGTAAACAAGGCTCTGGTCACCAACGTTAAGCAACACTCTTTCATCGGAGTCCTCGACATCTATGGGTACGCATGAGCTGTGGTTAGTGGATCAGAGAGCCGATGAGGAGACAGGAAGAGGAAAATATACTCTAAGACCACGAAGCTAGAAGTTTGTCAGATAAACCAAAAAGCCTGCAGACTTCAGGTTTTTCCACATTCATTAATACATCTTAAACCTCTTCACCTTTCATCATCTTCGTAAATAGCCTCTAAAAACTTTGTGCATCTAGTAGGGGTGTAAATCACACCCATCATGGCGATTCGATTCAGTATCGATTTCCTGACCCAACGATTCGATTATTTTCGATACTCAAGAATACACCACGATTTGATTCGACCAATCGGTTTATTTTTTATTTATTTTTTTTTACACCTTACAGGCTTTTTTTTTTTTAGAAACAACAGCAAATAACAGAAGTAGAAAAGTCTCGGTTTCAAGCATCTAACAGGTTTTTCTTCTGGGATTTTACATCAATCTGCCCTTCCAGTTTCCCCTCTCAGGCTGATGAAAAGCCTCCCCACAGCATGATGCAGCTACCTCTATGTTGCACCATAAAGATGTTGTGTTAAGCGTCATGCTTGCTGTCTATTTATGCCTTGTTCAAAGTTTTACTCATTGCAGTAATTTTGACTTAGTACTGCAACTAACCGATTAATCTGTCGATTATTTTTTCGTTTAATCGAATAATAATCAAATAGCGAAAGGCTCCTTAAAGAAGATTTTATACTAAATTAGACCAGGTGAAACTAAAACTTTTCCACACGTAAAGTACAGGATAGAGCAGATTGAACAAAGTGTTTTGTTTTAATCTTAAAGGATAATTGTTTATATATTTTTTACACTTTTGATATAACTGCTACTCTAAGTGGGTCGTTCTGTCAGCTGAAGGCATGTTTTAGAGTCTCTACATTTCCAGAAAGTATGAGTGTGTTAACATTGCAGTTTACCTGTGTTCTACAGCTTTATATACAATCTTTTGTCTCTTCAGGTTTGAAACATTTGAAATCAACAGCTTTGAGCAGTTCTGCATCAACTACGCTAATGAAAAACTCCAGCAGCAATTCAACATGGTGACTACACTTTAAACCGATCTTAGTTACAGTGATTTGATCTAGTTTTCTTTTCAGAAAGTGCTAAACTAGGTTTTATGTAATTATTCTTTGTATATTTTGTGTGAGCGCAGCATGTGTTCAAGCTGGAGCAGGAGGAATATATGAAGGAGCAGATCCCCTGGACGCTGATCGACTTTTACGACAATCAGCCCTGCATCAACCTCATAGAGGCTAAGATGGGCATCCTGGACCTGCTGGACGAGGAGTGCAAGGTAGAGATTAAACTAGAAACATGGAACCTCTTATTTGAAGTCAGAACAATGCATCAATGGTGTTTGATGCTCAAAAGAACATGTTTGCAACAATGGGCGGTTCTAGACAGGGGCCAACGGGGGCCAGTGTCCCTGTAGATAATGTCCTGGCCTCTGTTATGGCCCCTGTACTGAAGACGTAATACTCATAGACATTCTAATGATGATATGCGCTGGAACAGACATGGTTACTGATAGGTCCTTTGGATCTATTTCATTTTTTTTCTTTACAAATTCTGTTTTACTTATTATTCAAAAACAAAGTGATAGCTTCAGTGGTATTGTGATAGGATACCATTTTCCATCTGCTAAATGTTTTTTCAAAACAAATCATAAAAAAAAATACTCTAATTTTTACAGCTGAATTTATCAGTTTTACTTGAGTTCTAATTTAGATTTTATAGAAAACTGTAATTTTAGCTTAAATTAAGTGTACAATTAAAATGTGTACAATTCCTAAATTATGAACGTATATTGACCTAATAAGTCATAGAATTAATTAAACCTAATTGAATAGAAATTTCCCCTCATCCAGCTCTTAATATATTTGAATCTCTTGCCCTGTTTTTTATTTTATGCTTTTCTGTGCCCCAATGAAAACATGCTGGCCCCCTCCTGGCCCTGTGGTACATTAGATCATTAGATCTAGAACAGCCACTGTTTGCAACACAAGGATCATAAGGGAAAAAAGGTCCATTTTTTTTGTTTTGTATTTTTTAAACCAGGGAATTTTTCTACAAAACTGAAATAAGCAAAACATGTTTATGCTGCAAGTTTGTCTGTAGTTCATGTTATTTAGGGTCCTTTTGTCCACATTCTGCTCCTGATTATTTTGTCTCTAATCCAGGGGTCACCAACGCGGTGCCCCTCAGTCCTAGTCCTAGTCTCCTGAAAACAGCACAACTCACCAGTGGACAAAGTGTACCATTTTATTTTATTCTGTTGCTCTTCTTTTTTAATCATTTATAGAGCAATTTGAGTTGTTTCTCATATACAGTAGCAGCCATTCAAAACGGCCCTTCCCAGTCAAACGCCAGCTGAATGGCAGCCCACTTCCCTACAACTCATAGCGAAATCCCCTCCAACTTCCAGCCACAGTGACCCCCTCTTGCAATTTTTTTTACTCTGACTCCACCCTTTACTGAATTACAGGCTCTGACCAGGAGATGTCGCTTCTCTTTAGATCATAATGTCCACAAATCATGAAGGAAAGAATATTTTAGTACAAAGATTGATGTTTAACAAGGAATTGTAGGGGACCAGCCGAGGGCCCATCAAAGAAAAAGGTTAACTTTTAAATGGCTACGACTGTAGGGCATCTAAGTATTTTTTAAGATTTCAAAATAATAATGATAAATAAAATAAATAATAAATAATGAAATTAGAAAGGAAAGAAACAATAAAAAGGTTTACTATGTATGAAGTTTCGTTTACCCCTCCATGTCATAGATCAGTGTTTGCAGCCCCTCCTATTACTCGGAACCCATGAAATAGCCCTCAGCCTTAAAAAGCTTGGTGACTCCTGCTCTAAAAGTATCTTTCCTGCACATACAAGTCTCAGAAAAATGCAGATTGCTCAAGTTTGCACCATCTGCACCTTATCTGAAGCAGATACTCAAATATTGCCTCTAATCTCTGTAGCTCTCAGGCTCTGCTATGTCGTTTCTGTTGACCTTTGAGGTGGGTCGCACTGTTACTACTTCTTTTTTTTTTCTTTTTAAAAGCACCACTGATGTTATGAACAGAGATTTTTCCTGCGTTACACTGGAAACATTAGCAAGATCTGTACCTTTAATAACCATAACAAATGTTCATTCTTTTCCTGATTGTTTTGTCTTCAGATGCCCAAGGGTTCGGATGATTCCTGGGCTCAGAAACTCTACAACACTCACCTGAAGACCTGCTCCCTGTTTGAGAAGCCACGCATGTCCAACCGCGCCTTCATTATCCAACATTTTGCTGATAAGGTGGGTTGGGCTAATGTATTTTTTCCCATATTTTCTCTTTTTTTTTATAATACCCATGGACCTCATAAAGATCCTTCTTTTACTTTACTGGTCGAGTTCTTCAGATTGTAATTTAAACGCTTATGGTTAGCCACAGAATTTCTGATGCCATTTAAAGGTATGAGGTGTTTTCCACATGATGATCTACTGTTTGATGCTCCACCACCTGGGGTGTTCAATGCCCACCAGTTCAGTTCTTGTATATCTCTGCTGACCAAAGCACACGGTTCTAATTAAAGCCCCACTGCATTTTAGCAAACTCTAGTTATGTTTGTGATGGTAGAACAGAAAAGGCTGTTTCTGTAAAGGCTTTTATCCACAACCTGCTGCCTCAGATAGACCCACCCCCCTCCTCATGCTCTGATGACCGTGGTGCACTGGAAAAAATTTGAAATCTAGATAAGTGATTTTTTCTTAAAATAAGTGCATTTTTCTTGGATTTAGGAGGTAAAAGAGACATTTTGCCAGGACAATTTCCACTTAAAATAAGAAAAAAACAATTGCATTGTCTTATCCTAGTGCATAATATCTAATTATCTTATTTTAACAGTAAAAATAATCATTCCACTCGCAAATCATAGTATTTATCTACTCAAATAAAGGATAAATACACTATATTTAGGATATTTTTACTTATTTGTAGATCATTCTTCCAGTGTGTGGTCTTTGTATTAAGGAAGAACATAACCGTTCTTGCTTTACTTTTTGTCTGCTGCCTGCTACTAAATGATTAAGATCTTTTTTTTTTTCCTTTCAGTTTCTTTTACACCAGTTATTGTCGATAATTAGTAGATGAGTATAAGCCCTTCCCTGTCAATCCTTGTGGTTAGTTTGTTCCACATAAAGATAAAAGATATACTCTCTACTTAAACTTATGTTAAGCGTCTTATTTATCTACAGTGGTTTGGTTAAAAATATGTTTTCTCTAATATAGGCATACATGTGCTCAAACTTAAGGTGTGATTTTTATAAAAGAGGTGTGGGGATTTTTAGGCTTCTTGTTAATCTCTGACAGCAGTGGTGACATATTTGCACACATCTGTTTTTAGCTTTTCAGTAAAGATTGATAAACTGGTCAAAGACTCCATTAGGGTTTCATCATCATCAGTAAAACTGTTTTATTATCAATTTGTTGTTTTTCAGTGTGGATTACATTAAAGCAAAACCTACAGCAGGATGTGTTGTTGTTGTTGAGCAGGTAGAGTACCAGTGTGAGGGTTTCCTGGAGAAGAACAAGGACACAGTGAATGAAGAACAGATCAATGTGCTGAAGGCCAGCAAGGTGAGACCCTCTGCGCCTACATAGTTTGTTTATTCAACCTAAAATAGATCAAACCAGGTGTCCTGAATCGAGACGGGATCCGCTAGACTTCAGAAATGTGTCAAAGTCAATTATTTTCAGGAAAAAATGGAAAGCTGCTGCTTCTTCAGGTCAGAAGTTTCCAACTATAGAAGGATCAGGGAAACGGCTCCCTCCTCTGGCCATTTTAGGACATTGAAAGGAGACAAACTGCATTATTATTATTATTTTATTTTTTACATACATTAATTGAATTTAAACTGAATTGAATTTAAACCTTAAACAACCTCTAAGTTGGTTCATTGGCTTGAGTCTTCTGTTCAAGACGAACAAACAGCAAAACAAAAACCGTTTGAACAGCCGAAGCCAGGTTTACAAATCGACACAATTTAAAACGTGATTTTAAACCATGCTGTTTCTTTTTATATCTTATCAGGTGTTTGTTTTTACTTATCCACCTACAACACTCATTTAGTCTCATCAGTGATCCAAAGTAGTTTATTTTATTTATTTTTCCTCACATCTTTTCAGTAGTACCTTTGAAGAATAACTCTCTTCTTGTAGGGCATACACTTATCAGTTACCTGACAGAAGCCAGATTGATACCATTTAGAGTTCAAAGTAAACTACACCAGGGGTCGGCAACCCAAACTGTTCAGAGTCATATTAAACCAAAAAATAAATAATTCTGCATGAAGCCACGGTGAATATGCTGTATGATATTTGCTGCTTTAAAGGAATAGTACACCCAAAACATGATTAGCCTTCATTTTCTACTCACCCCCATGCTGAACAACACTCTGGAGTACTTTTTTGATATCTCAAATGCATCTGGAGATCTGGGAGGCTTCTTGCTGTCTGCTGACATTCAAATAATGGAGGTCTACGGTGACCGAGACAGAAAGGTCCATAAAAGTCCACAAAAAACGTGTCAATATTCCTCCATACTGCTCGTCCAATGTATTCCAAGTGTCCTGAGTGGGTAGCATCCAGAATTTACTCGAAACGAAGTCATTTAGAATGTTTTTAGAGCATAAACAGTAGTGTATAGGATTTCCTGAAAGCGCGCACATGCGCGTTCACGACGCTACGGAAGCCGGCATACCAAACCAGCGCATTCAGCTCGGCAAAGAACTCATGCTCTTCCTCAACACTGAAGTCCTCAGACATTTTTCTTTCGTTGTTTCTTTCTTTGCACAGGTAAACAGCACATTGCTTCTTCTACGCTTGCATTATTGGCAGAGCAGACGCTGAATGCGCACTTTCATCTGGTTTGGTCTGCCGGCTTCCGTAGCGTCGTGAACGCGCATGTGCGCGCTTTCAGGAAATCCTATACTAGAGATGTCCCGATCCAGGTTTTTGCACTTCCGATCCGATACCGATATTGTTTTTGGACTTCCGATCCGATACCGATACTGGCCGATACCAGCCTATCCGAGCATGTATTTAAGTTTAAGTTAAAGTATTTAGCCTTAGTTGTAAGACTCATGTTGAAAAGGGTTTTAGTACTCTTGATAACATCTAGCCAGCTAAATTAGGTGAGATTGAATAAAACACAATACTTGGTAACAACAAACTTATCTGTTTATTAAGAGATAAACACAAACTGGACAAAATAATGAATAGCAATCTGAAATTGCACAGTGAGCAGTAAAACCGTAAACAGTTAAAGGTGCAAGTATTACTGTAAGTTTTAATAAAAATGCAAAACAGGGGAACACTGGCGCAAAATAGATGAATGGATCGTTTCAATCGGCGAAACTGGAAAATACAGACCGGATTTTTTTTTAAAAACTGGATCGGCAGTCTGGATCGGCATTTTACATGCTTTGCCGATACGCATTTTTTTGCCAATATCGGCGTCCCGATCCGATACGTGGATCGGATCGGGACAAGCCTATCCTATACACTACTGTTTATGCTCTAAAAACATTCTAAATGACTTCGTTTCGAGTACATTCTGGATGCTACCCACTCAGGACACTTGGAATACATTGGACGAGCAGTATGGAGGAATATTAACACGTTTTTTGTGGACTTTTATGGACCTTTCTGTCTCGGTCACCATAGACCTCCATTATTTGAATGTCAGCAGACAGCAAGAAGCCTCCCAGATCTCCAGATGCATTTGAGATATCAAAAAAGTACTCCAGAGTGTTGTTCAGCATGGGGGTGAGTAGAAAATGAAGGCTAATCATGTTTTGGGAGTACTATTCCTTTAAGTTTAAATTGCATAATAGCACGAGGTGAGGGAGAAGCAGTGAACGCTCTCACCATGTGGAGTTCACCCCTTCACCGCGCCAACTGTCTGTATTATGTTTTGTTACATTGATGAAATTATAGAAACATGATAAAGGAATCTTTCTATAGCGGACGTGTTTCTGTTGGTTGATTGGTTGCATATTTAGCATGTCGTCCCTGGAAATGCCTTTCCAAATTACTCTTTTTATTTTTTTAAACCTCTCATTCCTAATCAAACATCCAGGTAATCCTTCTGCATTGATAGTGAAAGCAAATGATTCTCTCCATTTTTCTTCTAATCCTCTGTTCTTATGGAATCCATGGCACGAGACGCACCCGGCTCTTAGTTTGTGACAGCCATCTGCCTGGCACGCATCACACTGTTTCAGGCTTTTGCCGCAGTTCTTCTTGACATAAATGTTTACATTAATTGTTTCATTTTATTCAGACATATTTTTATAGCATTGGAAATCATACTTGTTTGTTTGAACTCCTGCAAACCATATTAAAACAAACCAAAAATTGCACCTTTTTTCCATTTGCTTCCATTTTTGAAAAAGCTCCAGGGAGCCGCGGGTTGCCGACCCCTGAACAACACTAATTGATCTGGAAAGCCTCCTGCAAAAAGTGTTCACAAAAGGGAGGGACATTCAGTAAAATGCTCCGAGCTGATTGGGTAACTGGCTCCCCTGTCAAGTTTTTAGCAAATCACAGCAGCAGCTGCAGCTTCATTTGTTTCACAACTGGCGGCGTTGACCAATTAATCAAACTCTTACCAAATCCGGTTGTGGGAACTTCATTTGCAGTTCCACGGGAAACCATTCTCCATCCACATCACGTCCCTTCGCTTGTTTTTCAAAAAGAAATAGAGGGTAATCCAGCAAAAACCGGCACAGCCATCTTTCTTTCTGGTTGTTGCAGTGATGTCATACACGTCACTGCATTTCATGGCTCCAAAACATCCCTGTATCGAGGCTAACGCCTCTGCTGGCTCCTGGCAACATGTACTTTTGGGAGTTTAGGAATTCGCTACAGTTGATCTTGATTGCAGGCTAAACCTATCAGTACCTATGTAAACTCCAGCTGTTCTCTTAGAGACCTGAACAAGATTTGGATAAGAGGTCAAAAATGACATATAGCAACTTTAATTTCTAAGAAGGCCTCCTGATGTGCTAAAACACATTAAACACAATAGGACTGATTGGTTATTAACTTCCGATGAGATTTGCCTTTTTTTTTTTTTCAGTGTTCTACAAAGTCCACCTGATCATTGCTTATGCCAAAATTTTGGTCAGTTTTAAAACAAAGTGGAAATCCTGTTTTTAAAATGATAAATAACAATGATCAAATAGGTTTAATGCTTTTTTAAATATCTTTATCTTATTCATTTTATCTCTTATGCTGGAACAATACAGACAGCTTTAGTGTGAGTTTACAGACTGAGCCATCCCATTCCTCCCAATGTCATTGGACATGTTAGGAGAAAAATGAAATGCTGAATTCCCTCTGTGTTTAATACTCGAAGTGATGTATTCATTAACTTAAGTGAACAGAGCCACACTGTATTCTGTCATGTTCCAACACAAACTCCTTGTGTTTTGTAGGGATTGTATGTGACCAACATAAAGTAGAGCAATGTTATAATTTCGAATGAAGAAAATGAGTTTTTAAGACCTAAAAACAGATTCTGTATTAATATTCAGACCTCTTTAATCAAAAAAAAAAAAAATTCTCTGGAAGTGCAGCTGCAAGACCCTCGGGGTCTGCCTCTACTAGCTAGTTTTAGAGGCTGAAACTGCTGTTAAAAACGTGGCCAGTGTGTTACTTTCAGTTCTCAAATCTTGCTGCAGATTCTGTCTGATTTAGGTCTACGCCATCCTTTTATTTCTTGAATACGTTTTAAACCGTACTGCTGTGTTCTGCATTTTGAGTCTCATCCTGATTGAAGGTGAAACTCATACACTATCTCCTCTAACGTGTTTTCCTCCAGGGTTACTGTCATTTAGCTCAATCTATAATTTTTATCAGCTTTGACCATCCTATCAGCTCCCACTGGAGAAACGCTTCCCCACAGCATGATCCTGTTCCCACCATGTGTAACCCTGCGTTACATGTGTTTTATTTTCTGATCTGCCTTTAGCATCATCTATGACAGAGTATTAGGGCCAGGATAGAGATATTTTTTCTTTTTCCTGAATAAAGTCGTAACATTACGGGAATAAAGCCATAACTTTACGGGAATAAAATCGTAACATTACGGGAATAAAGCCGTAACATTACGGGAATAAAGTCGTAACATTACGGGAATAAAGCCATAACTTTACGGGAATAAAGTCGTAACATTACGGGAATAAAGCCAAAACTTTACGGGAATAAAGCCATAACTTTACGGGAATAAAGCCGTAACATTACGGGAATAAAGCCATAACTTTACGGGAATAAAGCCGTAACATTACGGGAATAAAGTCGTAACCTTACGGAAATTTAGCCAAAACGAGAATAGTCATTAAATTACAAGAATAAAGCCATAACACTATGAGAATAAAGTCCTAAAATGACAAGAATAAAGTTATATTTTATGACAATTTTTACAAGAAGCGCTGTCTTCTTTAAAATGAGGAATTTGGCATTTTGTGAAGTTATACTTTGAAATCAGTTTTAAAAATAAGCAAATTTTAGCACACCAGCATCAAATTGGGCAGGATGTCAAAGTGGAATCAGGTTGCTGTTTGCTGGCCGGCCGTCATATGCTGGCTGGAGCTCAAAGCTTTCTTTCTGAAACTGTTTGTGGTATGATGACTACATCCTTGTAATATTGCGACTTTATTCTCGTGATAAACGACTTTATTCTCAAAATAAAAAAATCTCTAGCTTGGCCCTAATCCTGCATCGTATTGTTTGGTCTCATGTTTATGATGATGTTTATCACCATGTTTTCACATGGAAAAAACTTTTCCCTACGTTAGATCTAAGCGTTTTTACTGAATGTCTATGAAAAAAGTAATGTTTCCATCCATTCACATTTTTTTTTTTACTTTTTCTTATTTTTAGAGCTGTAATTTTGATCATAATTTTGAGGGTTTTTTTGTGGGTTTCCTTTTAACTTTTACTTTAATGCCACATGTACTTGTTTTTTTTTTTGTATCTGTGTGTCCATCTGTTGTCCATGTATGTTTGGTTGTGTCCTCATCACGACCATCTCACCCGCCAACAGAAGGTAAACAGATGCGTTCTGAGAACGCCGGTGCGCCGTTAGCTCTTCGTTTATTTTCTTTCCTCTCTTCCTTCCTCGTCTCACCTCGTGGCACCGAGTTATTACACTCTAACAGCACTGATGGGTTGGAAGTTTGTGTGTGTGCCTTTGTCTGCTGCATGGGGGTGGGAGCAACGGTAGCACTGCAGGGCAAGAGTGCGGATTCATCACAGTGAGAGACAAAGGAAAGCGGGTATTTTTTTCTTTCAGAGTGAAGCTGAGAGCAAGCAGCTGCTGAAGGCAAACTGGCTGTCCTGCTTAATGATGCCGGTTAGAGAAGCAGCATGGCGCCGGCTCTAAACTCAGCAGGACGACGTGAAGCTGCACACATAACTCAGCATCTTCATCGTGTAACCTCAGCGTTATACGAGCCATGACTGACTGTGCTCAAGTCCTAACACTATGGCAGGATAACGCCACACGGCCATGTATGGCCTCTGCATTTCGTCATACATGACCAAACATTAACACTTTCAGCATTTATGTTGTTTCCTTTTTTAACATCTGACTCAGTGAATTTCTGTAGAACTAATTGATAGATCTACTCACCTATTTAAGATGAAAAACTAGTTTGGATTAACCTTCCTGTCTGTCTCTCTTATAAAGGTTAAAAAACAGTCATGTTAAATTCTATGAAGCTGAAAACGAGAGCTGAATATTAGTGGTTTTAAGATGCAGGCACTTTGCTGATTCTATAATTAGGGTCGTATTAATGGAGGAGATCCGTTGCCTATTATTGCTCAACCTTCTGGGTTTTAACTATTGATGGGCTGCTATTTCCAGTTCGACCTGCTGGTGGAGCTGTTCCAGGACGAGGAGAAGGCAACCACCCCGACTGGTCAGGTTCCCGGTACCGGGGGCCGGACCCGGCTTAGCATCAAACCGGACAAAGGCCGAGACAAGAGCAGCAAAGAGCACAAGAAGACTGTAGGCTGTCAGGTAGTCATCAATGCTGTTTAAAGGAGTCAGGATCCCACCTGATATCCCCCCACCCCCAAGATAAAACATCCTAACAAAATGAAAGTAGTGATAGAGGATGCTGCTTCTCTCTCTCCCAGTTCCGAAACTCTCTCCAAATGCTGATGGAGACTTTGAACGCAACCACTCCACATTACGTCCGCTGCATCAAACCAAACGACTTCAAGTTGGCCTTCTCGTGAGTCTCTGTTTGCATCTCCTTTATTACTTTGATGGATTTTAGTAAACTCAGGACTATGTTCTCCTCTGACTCATTATGTGTTGTTGGCAGGTTTGATCCTAAGCGAGCAGTGCAGCAGCTCAGAGCCTGTGGTGTTCTGGAAACCATCCGCATCTCTGCAGCCGGCTTCCCATCCAGGTACTAAAACATCCTTAAAAAAATAATAATAATTTCAGTTGCTGATTTCTGAGCAGATTTTGAAAAGCTTTTAACTTCAGATTTAATTGGTTCTGATCACAGTTTACTGCAAATAATAAAACTCATGACATGTTAACGGAGGGATCAGAGAGTTAAATTAAAAAAATGTTTAGAGCAAAATCAAGCATTTTTTCTTAAAAACATAGAGAGCCATCTTTCTTCGATAGTCTCTTGTTATCGGACAGATATGTCGATCTAAAACTAATGGGACGTCTCACTGTGTGAGAGAGAATATTCAGTCACAAAAACTGGATAAAATTTTTTTAAGGGCCTGATAGCATGATTACTGAGGTTAATTTGTTTTTTTTTCTCTGTAATATATATTATTAGTGTTAGCAGATATAAGTACGCAGCATTGAGACCAGTTTCTCAGCAGGATTCCTGTTCAGCAGAGGAAAATAAGACCATCAGACAGTATTTGAGTTTCATTCTGAGAGAGATGGGGCGACCATAAAGCAACCCACCTGCGCTTGCCGTTTTATTCACCATGACACGTGACACAACAATCATGGCGAAATTGGCTCTCAATTTGTACATCACTTCCTCTGGAAATAAAAGGACAATTTAGAGCATAAAACTTAACAATTTGCATCTTTAATGCAATCAATAGTGCTTGTGTGAAATTAAAGGCCTGTGGCAATTTATCTGGCCCTCAAGAGCAAAAACAGGTGCATCATGCTACAAAATGGAGACCTTCTCTCCTTTTAACTTCAACAAAGTGGCTAAAATTCCTAAATAAACAGTCTGTAAAGTTGTAATACCAAAGAAGTGTGCTGTTTGTAAATTAAATAACGAAATGAAAAATTTTATTTCCACAGCTGCAACCAGGTCTTTTAAAGACTTGGCAAGGCTGCCTTACAGTGTTGGTAGCCCTAAATACTCAGATTGCTAATATTTCCAAATCCGGCAGGTTGAGGCTGGAAGCTTAAAAAAGGACAAAACAAGGCGCCTGCACTTAGCTTAGCGGTTAGCTTTTCTGTTTCCATTGCTTCATACAGGGTTCAGCTTTATTTCTAAAGTAATTTAAACATTTAAAATGACCCAGTGAGTTTTTTCACCTCAGCAGCATCCATGCTGCTACCCAGCTGGTTTCTTACTGTCTCAGAGTTTGATGCTGAAGCTCACTGTTCATCATCTAATCTACAGAAACACTAATCTTCAAATCAAACTGTACTTTTTAGAAACAACAGCCTGTGTCTGTTTGGCATGTTAGTGATTAAAAATCATCTTGGCTTTATTGTCTTGTAAAATTATTCCCAGTTTACTTGACATGTACTAAACCCCACAAGACAGATTCCACTTATTTACTGAATAATGGGCCAGAACACACTGAATCCGATCCTACAGAAAATGTTGTCAGATAAAGTCATGACGTTCACCTCTCATTGAAAGTTAATGGGGATGATCACACCTGATATGATTTTACACAAGGGGGCTGCGTAGCTCCGTCTGAGATACAGCCCAGGTCTATTTTAGTCGGATTACTCAGCAATTCAGCAGCAGTTTCATGGGTCTGATGGGAAGAGAGATGCCGTTACAAAGTAGAACACATCCTCTTTGGGGGAAAATACAAAATAAAATCTGTTAATCGCACAGGGAAACGGTCAGGTCTGGAGTTTCACATCGCATATATAGCTAGCGGGACAGACTTGTGCTAAAACAACGAATAAAACATTTAAAAACATAAGATTTTACCCATGATAGGAGTTCAGAAGGACAGAAAACAGATGAAATAGTAATCCTTGTTGAGCTTCACAAAAAACAAAATAACGAGGGACAGACAGCAGGTAAGCGCAGCGTATCTCTCTCACTTCTTTATGAAAAAAAAGAAATAAAAACGTGGATAAACTTCCCAGATTTCTGTCTGAGAATCACCACTCTGCCTCTGTCAGAATAGAAACCGCCCTACACCATTTATTGCTGTGTCTTTCTTTTCTTTAGACGTAGATCTCATTATGTTTTGAATATATGAACATTATCTTTTCTGGTTAGAGATGCTGCACAGTAAAGTGGAGCTGTGCTTTTTAAAAAGTGGCCGGTGTTTTTTTTTTGTTTTTTTTTATATAACTTTTCATAAGATGTCCAAGTCAAATGTTGGAAATTATCTGAATTTGTGTGGCACAGAAACAGAAGTTTAAAACATTATTTGCATCCTGCCAAGTCATAGCCTCTCTATAAGTAGTCAGTGGGAAATCGATCGGAGATTAATAGGTCGTACACAGCTGGAAAGGTTGGTTATCATTAGTACATTCGTCATTGTTTAGTGTTTAAGGCTTGTTCAAAAAAAAACATTAGACCACAGAGTTTGAAAGGACGTACTTTGCTTTTTTACCCTGTTTCATGATGGCATGGAAGGAAATCTCAGTTCTGTCTGTGTGTGATTTGTTAGGTGGACGTACCAGGAGTTCTTCAGCCGTTACAGAGTGCTGATGAAGCAGAAGGATGTGCTCCATGATAAGAAGCTGACCTGCAAAAACGTTCTGGAGAAATTAGTTCAGGTTAGACAGACTCTGTTGTCTGTTTCTGTCTAATCGTTTCCGCCACCAATCGATACGTTCCTTTTTCTGTGAGAATTAAAAACATTTCCTGTTTTCTGTCATTTCTTTGCTTCCTCAGGATCAGGACAAGTACCAGTTTGGTAAGACTAAAATCTTCTTCAGGGCCGGCCAGGTGGCTTATCTGGAAAAACTGCGAGCGGACAAGCTGCGCGCCGCCTGCATCCGCATCCAGAAGACCATCCGCTGCTGGTTGGCTCGCAAGAAGTTCCTTCGCCAGCGCGCCGCCGCCATCACCATTCAGAGGTTCACCAGAGGATACCAGGCCCGCTGGTAGGTGGTCGGCCCTAATACTGGCATATCCTGAAAATGTGAAGTATTTAAGCTGGATTTGGCACCACAATTATAAAAAAGGAAAAAAAAGGGTGGGTCACACATTTCTGCCGCATGTATTACAAACGCTTCAACCAATCGATCAGCTTATTTTGTACGTCCTTGTCTTTGAGACAGATGCACATGAAGCTTTGAAATATATTTAGAAAAGATTTTGTTTTGAGATTATAAGCTGGACCATGTAAAGTAGGTCAACATGACACACAAAATTGAAATCTATTAAGTCATTGTTTCTTAAAATAAGAAGGTGAGACAATTTAGATTTAAAATAAGAAAAAATATTAGCATTTTCTTATTTTATTTCAAGTGCATATTATCTAGTTATATTACACTCATTCCTATGAAGCGTATTGCATTCACCAAAGAAAAAAAATAAATCAGACACCTTATCTCATAAATACGAGATTGGTATCTCGTAATTATTAAATCTCATCTCTTAATTATGATAAGCTGTCAGAAATTTTTTTCTTTGGTGAATGCAATACGCTTCCATACATTCCATTGCAACATCACCTACTCGTATTAAATGTAATAACACTTAATTTATTAAATGTTTACTAATTTCTATTTAAAGTCTGATAGAACTCCAGTAAAAGCTGTCCTCAGGTAAACTTAAATAGATGCTGTTCAGCTCATTCTGGCCCAAGAGGATAATACAAGACAATAAAAGTTGATTAAAAGTCACCGATCACTACTAGTACTAGTCAACAGTATATTAAAGAAAAAAAAAAACACATTTCAAAGTTGTTGTTTTTTACACTTTTTATTTTCTTATTTCCATTTGAGGAACTTCTGAAACATATTCAGGATTATAATCATGATATGTTCCACATATAACTATAATTGATCACCTGATACGTGTAAATTATTAACAATGTTGCCCTGGTTGGTAAAATGCTACAAATGATTGATATAAAAGTCTGAAAAGCCTCATATTCATAAAAACTAGAAATAGTGAAGCAACTGAAAAACCAGCATCTGTAATAAGCTATAGTTATAACAGAGTAATTAAAGCAATGAAGAAATGAATGTTTGTTTTGCTCAAAAATATATTCATGTATCCTTAAATGTCATTGTTATGAAAAATCTTCATTTAATAGGGAGCTGTTTTTATTTAAATTTTTTTGTGTTTCTGGGTAGCTTGGCGAAGTTCATGCGCCGCACCCAGGCCGCCACCGTCATCCAGAAGTACCAGAGGATGTGTGTGGAGAGGAAGCGCTACAGACAGAAGCAGGCTGCTGCTCTGGCCATGCAGACAATCCTCAGAGCGTACATGGCCCGACAGAAGTACCAGGCGGTGAGATGCAACACACAGTGTGACAGAAGGAGGCAGGAACTGATCTGTACAGGATGAATTCCAAAAAAAAAAAAAATCAAAGTTCTGTTTAATTTCTCTCGATTTAAAGTGTCTTCCTGTCGGTGGTCATTTATATGCAGCTGCTGCGGGAGCATAAGGCCATAATCATTCAGAAGCACGTCCGCGGCTGGCTGGCCAGGTGCTGGTACAAGCGCTGCCTGGAGGCCATCGTCTACCTGCAGTGCTGCATCCGCAGGATGAGAGCCAAGCGAGAGCTGAAGAAGCTGAAGATTGAGGCCCGATCAGTGGAGCACTTCAAGAAGCTCAACAAAGGCATGGAGAACAAAATCATGCAGCTGCAGAGAAAGATCGACGAGCAGGTGAGGTCCTGGTCCTAATCCGGATTTTTTTCCTTTTTTTTTCAGTGGTTTGTTAATGTTTTTGTTTTTCATCCTGTGCTTATAGCATAAGGACAACCGGTTAATAAGCGAGAAATTGGTCACTCTGGAGAGTTCCTACGCATCGGAGAGCGAGCGCATGCGCAGGGAGCTGAGCCGGCTGCGCGGGGCGGAGGAGGACGCCAAGAACAAAGCCAACCAGGTGTCGTCTCTGCTGGAGGAGCTGGAGAGGCTAAAGAAGGAGCTGAGCGTCACCCAGCAGGAGAAGACGACCATCGAGGACTGGGCACACAAGTACAGGGACGAAATGGAAAAGGTAAGAAAGGAAGGAAGGAATCTGAGCCTTCTCTGATTTTCTGGGAGGGTTTTCAGTTTCTGTTTATTTTTAACTTTCTCTGCTTGCATCCTCCTGAGAGTGTCTCAGATAAAGATCCTATTAATAGAAACACTGGGATGTATGAAACTTTGCTCTCCAGTAATTATGTTCACCTCACATCAGAAGAATGACTGCTGGTGCACATAGGATGCTGTAGTTTTTAGACGCTCTGGGTAAAAAACTGCTGTTCAAAAACCTGGATGGGCTCCAAGCAAGTTAATTTTGTACAGTAGTTAAGTCTTAAAGCCATTGTTTTATCTTTGAATATATGATCTCCTGGTTGTTGTTTTCTTATTGTTTGGCTGATTAAGTAGCTCTGAATGGTAAAGAAAAGAACCAAAAGATTATCTCCATTTATGCGTCAAAGTATTGGTCAGATTTTTAATTCAAGTTGGAAAAAAAATAGCTCTCTTTTAATGTACTGATGGCAGCTTCACACAAGATCTAAGCGCTGGATTGTTTAATGTTTAGATGGTGTCCGAGCTGAAAGATCAGAATGGACTGCTGAAGAAGGAGAAAGACGACCTGAACAGGAGGATCCAGGAGCAGGGTCAGCAGATGACGGGTACGTCGCTTCCACCAGCTGCCCCAATTTTACCGCATCAGGAGAAAGAAAGAGAAACACTTTGGTCAATAAATAATCGTATGTTTTGTCTGAAACTTGTCTTTGTGTCGTCCCTGTTAGAGAAAATGACTCGTGCGATCGCACAGGAGACTCAGCAGCTGGAGACGGATCTGAACGAGGAGCGCTCTCGCTACCAGAACCTGCTGACAGAACACCTTCGCCTGGAGGAGAAATACGAGGACCTGAAGGAGGAGTTTGCTCACTCCTCGGTGAGGAGCAAAGATATGTCCAGGTTTATGTGTTTTTGACCTCCTTCACAAAAGGTCTTTACGCTGGAAACGCCTCTGCCGATAATTCTGTATTTCACCTAGAGAGGCAGTAAAGTGCCAGCATTCACCTAATCACCAGGAATCCTCCATAAGAAGTCGTCTCTGCTAGCGTTATCAAATACAGTATATTTACTATAAAATAAAACGTAATTTACCTGTCCGGCATAAGTTTTGCAACCAAAGCATCCATTTCAGACCATTTTGCTCCTTCAGGGTATGCCATCTCTGAAAAGAATATACTTAGCTGGCTCAGCTCCCTCCCATTCTCTCTCCTTTTTTCAACTACATGGAAAAAAAGGCTTTCCTTTCCGCTGTAGGTACCAGATATGCTAGGGTGGTCAGATCTTCTCAGGTCCTGCTTCATTGCCACATGATGTAAAAAAATAGTTGTTGCTTAGACAATGATGATAACATCAGGCAGCGTCAGTGTGCTGAGTCGGGAGCATCTGTAGCATTAGCGTGTCTAATGACCGATGAAGTTTTACCTGATCGATAACAAAACTGAAAAATTAGTTTATGGTGAACAAAGTAACTCTTAGACCATGATATAAAGGAGGAGAGCTGGCTAGCGCTGGCTAGTTGTGCTCAGTAGCTAGAAGAGGTAATTCAATTAATTTTTATAGTCCCAATTCACAACACATGTCATCTCAAGGCACTTTACAGTTCAAGTGGAGAGGAAAAACTCCCTATTAATGAGAATAAACCTCCATAAAAAGGTTAGCCTCTTTTAGCTTGGTCAGTTAGCCATATTAGGCTTAACTACTTTAAATTTGTGTCAATAACAACCGTTCATTTTCTACAAGTAGAACAACTGTTTTATTTTTCTAAAATCTTTATGAAAGTCGCTTTTCAAGATGTCCCATTTGTCCTTCCCTGCACTCAGATCTTAATAAAAAGAAGGAAAATAAGCTGAGACTTTTTTTGTCACCTTGTTAAATGGCAGAGATCAGTCTTAGAACACAGTACTTTCCTTCAAGACTGACAATGACTGTTTTCTACTTTCGGCTACTTTAGATCGCCGATGAAATGTAAAATTATACTAAATACGGGTAATAATATGTTGAGACTCCAGAAGAGATTTGATCTTTAAGAAACGGTTGCAATACAGTTTGTCCGAGTGGAGTTGCCATATGCTGACATCATAAGAAGGGGCAGGGCCCTGAGCAGATCTGACCACCCGAGCGGATCTGGTACCTGGTTAGGTTTGTCTGGATTCTTTTCGGCCATCGATGCTCCAGTTTACACAAAAGAGTGCAAGACTGCCATCCATCAATTAAGTCATTTTAGATTAATCTGGACACAATTTTATGAGAAGAATCCTCTTTCATACCTTTAACTACTGATGGGTAAACTTGTTAATTCCTTTTTTTGGAACAAGGAGGAGGAACAGAAGTTCTATTGAAATTTTTCTGGATTTTCACTTTAAAAACAATTTGCTCCATTTTAAAGATTTTAATACTAAAATACTCAACAAGAAAATGATATCTAAAGAGCTGAATATTCCTAAACAAAATAGTTTTTTAAAGAGGTTCTTTATAGCCCTTTATTTTAAGAAACATTTTAGATCCAATATTCATAACATCTAAATTGGTTCTGCTGATTCTGATATCCTGGATGCAAAATTTCAACACATTGGACCCTTTTAGCTCTTAATCTGTAAACGGTAAAGTTTTTTTTTTTTTTGCTGTTTTCATTAAAGAAACTTCTGTTCTTGTTTCGGCAGAACGTCTCCAAACCCGGCCACAGGAGAACAGACTCCACCCACAGCAGCAACGAATCAGAGTACACCTACAACTCGGAGTACGCCGAATCGGAAGAGGGTCACCGTGCCGGCGATGTAGGGGCTTCAGCTTTAAATGGAGGAGAAACCATCTTTTTATGTCCCCTCCTCTTTTTTTTCTAATCTCTTTTTATTAAACACAAAACAAACATTAGTTACATTCTTTGCTCAAGATATGTTTTTTTATTTTTAACATTACAAATTACACTCCCTCCCCCCACCTCTCAGAACTATATTACAAACTATATATACAAATACAAAATGCAACCACTTCAGAGTAGCATAAACACAAAATAAAAATTAACAATGTATGTGCATATATGTACACACATTCCTACCATGCATAAAAGAAAAAGAAAAGCCTTATTTATTATATGTGCTTAACTTCTGTAGGTCTTGGCCATCAGGTTTCGATGCATTACTCTCAGGGATTCTCAGGAAGTGTCTTTAGCTTTTCGAAATATTTTTATTAATGGATTCCAAACAGCATAAAACCGATCACTGGACCCTCTTAGTTTATATTTCATCTTTTCTAATTTGAGGTACAACATTAGATCAGACATCCATTCAAATAATTTTGGTGGGAAGGAATAAAATAATTTGTCTGCTAGCTATCAAAGTTGAAAAGGCTATTATATCTTTGAACCTAGAGTTACCCATACTATTCAGTGGTATTGTTCCAAAAATTTAGGTATACATATTAGGCTGACAATCTATTCCTATGATATCAGATATCGTTTTATACACTCCAAACCAAAATGAGTTAAAAGATGTGCATGACAGAAACATATGTGTTAAAGTTCAAGGGGCACAATGACATCTATTACAATTTTCATCCTCATTCTCAAATATCTTTGCTATTCTAGCTTTAGAATAATGCATTATGTGTAAGCTTTTAAACTGGATCAAGGCTAAACTTATACAGGATGCAGTCCCATTCACCTTACGCCACCAGCTTTCTGGAGTTGCCTCTCCCATTTCATTATCCAACTTAACTTTCACCTTAACATAAATATTCTCCCCTTGTGAGGTGATTAAGGAGTGAAATCTAGAAAGGAGGCCCTTTAGTTTAGGAGAGAGTGCAAACATATTCAAAACACAGGGTTTCCGCGGGTCATTAAAAATCATAAAGTCATTAAATTATTATTTTTTAATTAAGGCCTTAATTGGCATTAAAATTCATTAAATGTGTTTATTGTGGCATTTAGAATGCTTTGTTAAAAAAAATGTTTATAAAAACAATTTCGTCAGACATATTATGTTACGATATATTTGCGTGGAACTGCTTCCGGTTGATCGCAAAGCTGTATGTTCAGAAAAGAAGCTTGAGTCGCAGAAAAAGCTAGATAATGGGAGAAAAAAAAGCTATTTCAACAAAAGTGGCTGGAAAACGGGCATGGCTGCAGCCTGTCGACTGGTACCTGTTGGTGGCATTAAAATTATTTCTAAGAGCATTAAATTTGAGTTATTCATTCCTGTATAAACCCTAAAAACAGTAGGCTCTGGTTCATTTGGAAAGTCTGGTGTGCTGATAGAAATAAAGTGGCAAATCTGTAAATCCCTAAAGTAGTCTGAACTGGTAAGATTACATTTAACACATAGATCATTGAAACTTGCAAAAACCCCTGACTTATAAAAATCTTTAAACCTGAGAAGGCCTTGTCTTTTCCATCTCAAAAAGATTGAATCTATGTTAGCTGGAATAAATGCCTGATTATGCCAAATGGGCGCCTGCACAGAAAACTGATTAAGGCCCAAATGTTTTCTGAATTGAAGCTGAATACGTAAAATTTGCTACACTATAGGATTTGCAGAATATGATGAAATGGATATAGGAACTCTGGAGGTTACAAAGGCTGGAAGTGATGTTGAAAGACATGAGTTATTTTCGGCTTCACCAGACATGATCTGATGACTGATGATATCAATATTGTATCTTTTGGCATTTTGCCACACAATAATATATTTGTAAATTGGCAATCCCAAATTCTCCATCAGAGCGATGTTTCTGGAGAAATGTTTTCTGTATTCTGGGAATTTCATCTGCCCATATAAATGATGTAATAAACCTATGTATAGACTTAAAAAATGATTTTGGCAAACAAACTGGGAGACACTGGAAAATATAAAAAAATTTAGCAAGAACATTCATTTTTATACAATTAATTCTACCAACCAATGTCAGAGTGATGCCAGTCCGTCCCTGAAAATCAGATTTTAGCGTATCCACTGAGGGGTGAAGTTTTTACCAGACAATTCTGAAAAAGATGGAGTTAGATTAATCCCTAAATACTTAAACCCATCTCTAGATATAGAAAATCGAATCCTGGTGTGTGGATGCATGTTTTCTTTTCAACCAAGCAATAGCACACCAGACTACATTCATCTCATCAAGTCATAATGTTAAGACTGGACTCACTTGATGAGATGACTGGAGTCTGGTGTGCTATTTTTTGGTTGGAAAGAAAACCTGCAGCCACACGGCCCTTTGTGGAACCAGTTTGACATCCCTGCTCTAGCTGATCTAACAGGTCCTGGTTAACTGCTGTCAGAGCTTTAATGGTTGCCTCGGCTGCGTTCAGTCACTCAAAGTTCTCACCAGCTGTCGCTTCAGTCGACACCAACCTTGCTGGAAACGTATTGTCAGTTTCTTTAATACCGTCCACAGCAGTTTGTTTAAGTAACTCTAGAATCAAACTGTAGATGTCATCTTTAGGCACAGATCTCTGTTTATCTATTTCAGACACCAGTTGAACCATGGAGACGGTTTCCTCACCACTAGCTTTCTCCCCCGCCATTGCCGAATGTTTACTAGTCAACCTCTTGGAGGACGTTTGATGCAAGGATTTCTGCTTCCCACTCATTTTAGTCACACCAAGCACACCAGAAGGTTTCACCGCATATTTATGATCTTGTAAACCACAATATTTAGGAAAATGCGACACTAAATCAAAAATATTTTTCAAATTCGCTGAGAGCTCTGCAGATCGCGTCCTACCCCCACAGCGCCATACCAGAAGTCATGTCCCCTCATCTACTGAAAAAGGGTTTATGGCGTTTATGTTTAAACCTCTTATTTTATCTCTCACACAGGACGTGACGAGGGGGATGGATACCTCACTGACTCTAAAGCTGCAGAAACGGGTTACAGAGCTGGAGCAGGAAAAGCAGTCGCTGCGCAACGAACTGGAAAACAAAGAGGACCAGTTCCAGCGGGCTAGAGCCAGGGTAGCTGCAGGCAGCCCTTCACTTTTCTCTGGATTATATCGTACCCCATTGATGTTCTGTTACCTCTGAAACCAGACTATAAGCCATTATAGGCAGATCAAAGATGCTTCTTATATCTGTATGTCTTTATTTTGTTATTCAGCTGCATCTAAAAAGATTGATCCAGTTGATTTATTTCAGGAAGCTCAGAAAGTTGGATTTTGAATAAAGAAGCCGAAATTCAATGTAGGTCTATGTTCAGGGCTAAAGAACCATGACTATTTCCGATTGGAAGGCTAGAGTTATCCATGGGGGTGTTCTAGTCAGGGGCCGCTGGTGGACCCGGCTCCTGTTGGCCCCTGTACTGAAAACACTAACAAATACTAATTGCTTTGGCAAATAATCTCATTTAGCTGCTGAAATTAAGGTAACATGCACTTATTTTAAAAATATTTAAAAAAAATTTAGATCAGTTTTTTGCAGAGTAACTGCAATGACAGAGGAGACTGTTACTGTGTCTGAATGAACACCTTAACCCCTAAATCATTCAATCACTATAGAGCAGGGAATATATAGTGGACTTTATAGTCATGTAACTCCTCCTCCACCGCGATGGCCTGCGCCATCTTTATTAGTTGTCGACAGCCGGCCGCTGTCACAACAAATCCCATAATGCTTTGCGAGGAGGGCTCTCCACGCAAAGCGTTTCCAGGATATATCTATTCGTCTAGTGAACATGGCTGATCACTACCTTTCAAGGTGCATTGTGGGAAATTTCAAGTCCACTACTTTGTCATCCACTAGATGTTCGGACACTCATTTCAAATGGCGCAACATTCTTAAAAAGGGTGGACATTAAGACACAGTCGGTATTTGTCCCTTTGACCAATTCAGTATTTTACCCAGACGATTTACTTTAACAATTATTTATAAATTATAGACAGCTTTAAGCAGAGCCACAGAAGTGTGAAACCTTGGTTAATTCATATAAACTGGGCCCCAGCCCGGACCCCTAGTTCATTTTATCTAGAACCGCCACTAGATGTTTCCATACTAATTATAGAATTATAGAAAAACTGTTTAAAAAAGTTGCTCTTATAAAATGAATTATTTTTAAGATCCTGATTAATATCAGCATCAGTCGACCATCATTTCAGTATCTTTATTTAATCCAACATGTTTTCTGTTTTAGGATGATGCACAGTTTAGAAAGGCCCGTGGAGCAGAGCTGGAGTATGAGTCCCTGAAAGTAAGTAAAAAAACTCTAAAGTTTTCAAAAACATCAACACTTGTGGAATAAATAAACATCGTTATGATGCCACCTTAAAAAAAAAAACAATGTCACTTTGAACCTTCCTAACGCTCAGCGTCAGGAGCTGGAGTCTGAGAACAAGAAGCTGAGACACGACCTGGCAGAGATGAGGCAAAGCCTGCTCGCTGACGCAGCCACAGGTGCCGGGGCACCGGGCTCGCCGGCTTACAAGGTGCTCCTGGACCAGCTGAACGCTTCCTGCGAGGAGCTGGAGGTCCGCAAGGAAGAGGTGCTGATCCTTCGTTCCCAGCTGGTCAGCCAGAAGGAGGCCTTGCACCACAAGGTGAGAAAAACATTTAGGTTTGTTAGCTCTGGTTTGGTGACTCATTAATAAATGTAGATGGATGCTGCAGTAGGCTGTTTGTCATCCAGCTGCTCTTTATTCCATCATGTTATCTGTTTTTAATAGGATGCATCAGATATGTTTCTGCTTCCTGATGTGATGTCATTTCCATGATTAATGCGTCAAATAAAAAGATGGGAAATATCAGCGGCCATTTAGTTTTTACAATAATCAAACAGCTGCTAGTTTACTGCCCGTGTTGCTTCTATTCTCACTGTCCCAGCCGTGTGTCTAACGCTCTGTCTCCACCTTCTCTCCACCATTCATGCTTTTCCACAGGATGAGAAGGTACAGTGGATAAACCGAGACGTTAATGTTTCTATTTTTCTTTCTCTTTTTCTGGTTTAACGTTCTCTGTCTCCTTAGTAACAAACCTTTACAGCTTTTATGTGGCTTTAAAAAGCATGCATGCAGAAAACATTACAATTTACATTACGAAGTTACTCCTCTGGCTAAAGGTCTTTAGATTTTATTTCCTGTGATAGAAGTAAAGTTACAGTCAGGGGTTTTTTTTCACCTTTCTCATCCTCTGTGTGTTAAAATGCGTTTTCTTTACTCTCGTCTCCACTACCATTGTTTTGTGGTCTGCCTGGTGCTCATTTCACAGCTGCCTTTCCTGTAATAATTATTAGATTTCCCCAAAGTGATGAAGTTTTACACAAAGAGGCAGAATATTGTGGATAACCAAAACATCACTTGTTATTCTTAGGTTTAGTTAAACGGTTTTGATTCAATGCGCAGGTTGAACTCTTTAGTTCTTGGTCATTTTGAGGACTTCCCCAACCATCTCCTCCTCCTCTTTCCTAGGAGACGATGACGGAGCCTTCAGTGTTCGCTCAAGATGTGAACAAACTGAAGGACACAGACGAGTTAAAGCAGGCCTACATCGGCCTCAAAGACACCAACAGGTAGGCCAGCTTCAAAGCCAACCCTCCACACTCTTTGCTCCTGTGTCATAAAGATGTGGTTCTGCTATAAATCCTTGAGAGCTGATGTGTTAGAAACCAGTGTTTGGCTGTATGTCCTGCCAGATCTCCCAGGTCAATGCTCCCGGTGGTGGAGGTACAGGATCTCCTGAGTAGGCTGAGGTAACAGAGGAGAAATGGCTCGTGCATCATGGATCAGAAAATGCGCAGCCTCAGGGTTGAAATGTTCCCACTGACTAATGCTGCTGAGGACTGAAACGGCTGATTTCAGAGAGTCACAAAGCTCTTGCCCTTAGACAGCATGATATTTAACGTAACTCTGGCTTCAATTTAAGTCTAAGGCTACGTTCACACTGCAGGCCTTGATGCTCAATTCCGATTTTTTTTTTGTGAAATCCGATTTTTTTTTTTGCGTTGCCATTCACATTTCCGAATATATGCAACTTGTATGTGTTCTCCGGTGTGAACTGCAGTCATACAACGCAAGTGTCCCGCATGCACAGTAGAGGACGCAATGATATCACAGGCCAGCATGCCTACGGAAGTGAACATAAATGGTAGTGCCGTAGCGCATCTAGCGATCTTTCCCAACCTTAAAAACTCAATCTTTTCAAGATGGTTAAACAATAAATACTGCTATCAGCATCATCGTCCGCCATGGTTGTTGTTTTCCTTGCCGCTTCTTCATAGCAAGACCCAGAATAGTGACCTTTGTCGGGTATTAATGGCGTTCAGGTCTGATGAATGCAACCTGGCTGTACAGACACGGTTCACGTTTGAAAAGATCAGATTCAGAGCCAAGCGGCCTGGGTCACATTGGAAAAAAACGGTTCTGTGTTGTTTAGACTGTCATGATAAGATCAGATCCAGGTCGCACCTGGGCCAAACAATCATATTTGGGTCACTTCAGGCTGCAGTGTGAATGTAGCCTATGGCTATGCTCACACTTCAGGCCTTAATGCTCAATTTCGATATTTTTGTGAAATCCGATTCTTTGGTTGTTCACATTTCCAAATAGATTCATTCACACAACCTAAGTGTCCCGCATGTGCAGGAGAGGACGCAACGACGTCACAAGTAGCAAGCGTGCTCTTTGTTTATAGAAATAAACATGGATGGTCTTACCCAACCTCAACCATTGCATTAACAACAAACTCTTTCCAAGGTGGTTGAAAATAAAAACTGCCCTCTGCATCATCGTCCGCCATGGTTGTTTTCCTTCTCGTTTCTGTGTAGCAAGACACAGAATAGCAACCTTTGTTGAGTATTAATGGCTCACAGGTCAGATGAATGCCACCTGACCTTTCAGACTCGGGTCACATTTGAAAAGATCAGATTGTATCGCATTTAGGACCACAGAGCGATGAGTTCCTCAGCTATTCTGCATGCAGTTCTATTTTTCTATTTTCTTTTCTCCACCTCTGTAAAATTTTTAAGGAAGTTTGCATGTCAATTATCTTATAGATGTTGCTGGTGAAGATTCTCAGTCATCCAGGTCATAGTAATTCCAAAAAAGTAAAAAAAAAAACAATCCACTGGACCTGGTTTGAAGTTTGAAGACGTTTCGCTTCCCATCCAGGAAGCTTGGGAACTGCAAGAGACCAGCAGAGCTAGGACTGAAAACCAACTGTCACCATCAACTGGTGTTTTTACTTCGAAAGTTTAGTTATGTAAAGAGGAAACTATACAGGAGATAAAATGCTCCCTCTGTAGAAATCAGCTACAAAACCTGCTGATAAATGTTTTGGCTGATTCACAGCTCAGACAGGCTTGGAGATGACCTTTAACCTCCTGGTCATGCAGAGAAGTTTCCCTCCAGGGAGTGAGAGGGAAATTACAGCAGCCTAGCTGGAGTTTAGAATCTGAAAGATGCGGTACCTTTGATTAATGAAAGGCGGGAGTCAGTGTTGGCTCGTCAGTAGGGGGCACTAGAACCATGCCTTTCTCAAAAAGAAAGGAAAAGTTTAAAGACTGTAAACAAAAATGAGCAAACTGTCACATCTGTTCATGTGTAAAACATTACTGACCTTTGACTTTTCAGCATTTCTTTTTGTTTTCTTTTTTTGTGGGGGAATTTTCTAGTGTAGGTTAAAAACATGCATGTTCTTTGAATGAGTGCACATGTAGATCTGAAAATTGTGGAGAGATTTGCTAGCTGTAACGACATCTTTCATCTTTTATCCAATCAGAATAACACTTGATAGCTTTCAATCAGAGTCACAGATGTTTTTATCACACATATGGAAGAGCAGAGGTGTTAAACATCAGTAAAGTACAAAAAATGATGATAAAATAGAAAACTGGTCAAATTTAATTGAAGAAAATATCTTAAAAACTGTCCTATGCACAGAAAGCAGGGTTTTTTCCTCTTCTGTTCACTGTGTTGGTAGAGAGAACATAAAGAATACTAACTCTAGTTTGGTCCTAAATCAAAATGTAATATAACAGATATTATAGATTGAACTGCATTAACTGCTAAATATTTTTCGATCTCTGGTATTAAATACATTACAGTCGCAAAAAACTGAAATAGAACTTAAAAGTTGATTAACGTGTACATTTAAAATCTAATATATCTCAGTTTTTCTCTCTAAACACCCTGGGCTCCAGCTGAACAGATTCCGTTTCTGGTGTTTTCCGTTTTCATGCAGCTGTTACATCATGTCATTATTAATAGGTGTGTGTTCAAATGTTGGGAGGAAAAGTAAAAAATAGGAAAATAAATTCTCAAATAAGAGATGCAGAAACATTAGAACATTAGTACATTAAATAAATACTTGACACCTCAGTGGGAGTCTTACAAAAACAAGACAGGAGGAAATTAAACAGCAGAAGAAACTTCAGTTATTTATTTACAAAGTTACAGCTAAAAGTTTATGCTGGAGGACAATTGAAAGCAGAGAGAGGAAAATGGACCGAACTAACCTGACTAGCTATCACTGGTGAACACCTTCTTTTTCACCGGAAAGACAATAAATGAATATAATCTGATCAATTAAAATAATCTCCTTTAGAAACGCTGTTTCAATTATAGACCTATATCCAATCTTCCTTTCTTATCCAAAATTCTTGAGAAAGTAGTTGCCAAACAAGTTTGCGATCACTTCCACCATAATGAACTTTTTGAAGAGTTTCAGTCTGGCTTTAGAGCTCATCATAGCACTGAAACAGCTCTGGTGAAAGTCACTAATGATATTCTCATGGCCTCAGATAATGGACTTGTATCTGTGCTCGTCCTGTTGGATCTTAGTGCTGCATTTGATACAGTTGACCATAATATTCTTTTAGAAAGACTTGAATATTTTGTTGGAATTAAAGGAACAGCACTAGACTGGTTTAAATCTTATCTATCTGATCGAATTCAGTTTGTTCATGTTAATGATAGATCTTCAACACGCTCAAAGGTTACCTGTGGAGTACCACAGGGATCAGTGCTAGGACCAATTCTCTTTACTTTATACATGCTCCCAATTGGTAGAATTATTAGACAGCATGGGATTAATTTCCACTGTTATGCTGATGATACCCAGCTATATCTGTCTATAAATCCAGATGAAGCTAACCCATTACATAGATTACAGGCATGTCTTGAAGACATAAAAACCTGGATGACTCTTAATTTTCTGCTTCTGAATGCAGACAAAACAGAAGTTATAGTCTTTGGACCAGAGTCTCTGAAAAAGAAACTGATTAGCCAGTCACTTCATTTGGATGGGATTAAACTGATTTCAGATAATAAAGTAAAAAATCTTGGTGTTATTTTTGATCAGGACCTGTCATTTAAATCCCATATCAAAGAGGTTTCTAGAATTTCCTTCTTTCATCTGAGGAACATTGCAAAAATTAGAAATATCCTGTCCAGGGGTGATGCTGAGAAACTAGTCCATGCATTTGTTACTTCAAGGCTGGACTATTGTAATTCTTTACTATCAGGAAGTCCACAAACTGTAGTTAAAAGCCTTCAGCTGATCCAAAATGCTGCAGCCAGAGTTCTAATGAAAATGAAAAAGAGAGATCATATCTCTCCTATCCTGGCTTCTCTTCATTGGCTTCCTGTTAAATCAAGAATAGAATTTAAAATCCTCCTTCTCACATATAAAGCCTTAAATGGCCAAGCTCCATCTTATATCAGAGATCTGATTGTTCCTTATGTTCCTAACAGAGCACTTCGCTCTCAATCTGCAGGTTTACTAGTGGTTCCTAGAATTTCTAAAAGTAGAATGGGAGGCAGATCTTTTAGTTATCAGGCTCCTCTCCTGTGGAACCAACTACCAGTTTTAGTCCGTGAGGCAGACACCCTGTCTACTTTTAAGGCTAGGCTTAAAACTTTCATTTTTGATAAAGCTTATAGTTAGGGTGGCTCAGGTTATCCTGAGCTATCTCTATAGTTATGCTGCTATAGGCTTAGACTTTTGGAGGACATAGGGACCCCCATTTCATCATTCTGCTTCATTCTCTCTCTGTTCTCCTATTCTGCAGAATCTGTTAGTTCAATCTCTAACCTTCTGCTCTCTCTGCTTTTCCTCAGAGTAGCTTTGCCTCGTCTGTTCCTGTTTGGCTGTGACGTCATCCTGAAAAAAACATCAGCTGTGCTGCTTCTATCAACACCCTTGTTAATAGATGTTGGAGATCGGCCTGTTTTCCAGTGTGGTCCTGTTTCTCTGACCGTGACTGAGTGGATGTGCTCTCTTCGTCCTCTGGCATGGGAGCTGCCTTGGAGCTCGTCTGCCTGGCTGTGTGTTTCCTGGACGGGGCCGCCTTTTACAGCTGCTTTTTGTATCTCTGCTTCTGTCTCCTTGAACCCCAGTCGGCCTCGGCAGATGGCCGCTCACACTGAGCCTGGTTCTGCTGGAGGTTTCTTCCTGTTAAAAGGGAGTTTTTCCTCTCCACTGTCGCTACAAGCATGCTTAGTGTGGGGGATTGTATTTGAGTCAATGAGTCAATGCAATCAACTGGTTTTCCTTAGATAGAAAACTTTGTATCAATTTGACTGTATGATCTGGTTGAACTGTAAAGTGCCTTGAGATGACATGTGTTGTGAATTTGGCGCTATATAAATAAACTGAATTGAATTGAATTGTTTTATCCACAACAGAAAAACAAGATCCAACTGAAGGCAACTATTGAAAAGAAAGGAAAAAAATAATAATATTGAAAAAACT